TTGGTAATTGATACGATACAGTGAGTTGGTGTAGTCGATGGTGTGACTTCCACGTAAGATCTTATAGATTAGGCAGTTATGTCATGACAAATCTACAAATTTAGGATTAGGTCTATTATTAGAGCAGTACTAATATCATAGTAGACCATAGTTCTACAAATATTATCCAATGTTATGCACCCACCAATGATAGCAACGACGAAATTAAAGATCAATTCTACGAGCGGCTGCAGTCAGTGATAGAGAAATGCTCAAGAAAGGACCTCACCATTCTAATGGGAGATCTAAATGCCAAAGTCGGAATAGACAACACTGGATATGAAGATATTATGGGACGACATGGACTGGGAGAAAGAAACGAAAATGGAGAAAGATTTGCAAATCTATGTGCATTCAACAAATTGGTCATAGGAGGCACGATATTTCCACACAAGCGTATACACAAGGCTACATGGATCTCACCGGACCACACTACAGAGAACCAAATAGATCATATTTGCATCAACAAAAAATTCCGAAGGACAATGGAAGATGTGAGAACCAGGAGAGGTGCTGACGTAGCTTCAGATCACCACCTAGTTGTAGCCAATTTAAAACTGAAGCTAAAAAAGAACTGGACAAGTGGACAAACAGCACTACAAAGGTTCAGTACAGCCTTCCTTCGAGATATTGACAAACTCAATGAATTCAAGATAGCTCTCAACAACAGGTTCCAAGCCTTACAAGATCTACTGAAAGAAGAAGAAACTACTATGGAGGACAACTGGAAAGGCATCAAGGAAGCATTAACTTCAACGTGTCAAGAGGTTCTCGGTCTAAAGAAATACCATCATAAGGAATGGATCTCTACAGAAACACTGGACAAGATCGAAGAAAGGAAGAACAAGAAGGCAGCAATAAACAACAGCCGAACACGAGCAGAGAAAGTCCAAGCACAAGCTGAATACATAGAAGCAAACAAACAAGTGAAGAGGAGCATTAGAGCCGACAAGAACAAGTACGTGGAAGAACTAGCAACGACGGCAGAAAAAGCTGCTAGAGAAGGAAATATGAAACAGTTTTACGATACAACGAAGAAACTATCAGGGAAATACAGTAAACCAGAGAGGCCGGTCAAAGGCAAAGAAGGCAAGCCAATCACCGAAATTCAACAACAGCGTAACAGATGGGTAGAATACTTCGAGGAACTCCTGAATAGGCCGGCTCCAATGAATCCACCGGACATCGAAGCAGCACACACATATCTTCCTATAGATGTCAATCCACCAACTACGGAAGAAATCAGAATGGCCATCAGACAAATCAAGAGCGGGAAAGCAGCAGGACCCGACAACATACCAGCTGAAGCACTGAAGTCAGGCATCGAAGTAACTACAAACATGCTTCACCTTCTATTCAAAAAGATTTGGGAGGAGGAACAAGTGCCGATGGACTGGAAAGAAGGACACCTCGTCAAGATTCCAAAGAAAGGAGATCTGAGCAAATGTGAAAACTACAGAGGCATTACACTACTGTCAATACCAGGGAAAGTCTTCAACAGATTGTTGCCGAACCGGATGAAGGATGCAGTAGACGCCCAACTTCGAGATCAACAAGCTGGATTCTGTAAGGATCGGTCGTGCACAGACCAAATTGCAACACTACGGATCATCGTCGAACAATCAGTTGAGTGGAACTCATCACTATACATCAACTTCATTGATAATGAAAAGGCATTCGACAGTGTAGATAGGAGGACATTATGGAAACTTCTTCGACACTACGGAGTTCCTGAGAAGATTGTCAATATTATCCGGAACTCATACGACGGACTACAGTGCAAAGTAGTGCATGGAGGACAGCTGACAGATGCATTCCAAGTAAAGACCGGAGTCAGACAAGGCTGTTTACTCTCTCCCTTCCTCTTTCTTCTGGTGGTCGACTGGATTATGAAGACCTCAACATCTGAAGGAAAACACGGAATACAATGGACAGCTCAGAATCAATTAGACGATTTGGACTTCGCAGATGACCTAGCCCTCCTATCACGTACACACGAACAGATGCAGATGAAGACAGCCAGTGTAGCAGCAGTCTCTGCATCAGTAGGCCTCAGCATACACAAAGGGAAAACTAAGGTCCTCAAATTCAAAGCGGAGAACAGCAATCCAATCACTCTTGATGGCGAAACTCTGGAAGATGTAGAATCCTTCACATATCTGGGAAGCATCATCGATGAACAAGGAGGTTCAGATGCAGACGTAAAGGCGAGGATCGGTAAAGCAAGGGTCGCATTCCTACAATTGAAGAACATATGGAACTCAAGACCACTTTCAACCAATATCAAAGTGAGAATCTTCAATACGAATGTCAAGGCAGTTCTACTGTATGGAGCTGAAACTTGGAGAACTACAACAACCACAATCAAGAAAGTACAAGTATTTATAAATAGCTGTCTTCGCAAGATACTCAACATCCATTGGCCGGATACCATCAGCAGCAGCCTTCTGTGGGAGAGAACAAACCAACTTCCAGCTGAATAAGAAATTAGGAAAAGACGATGGAAATGGATAGGACATACATTACGCAAATCGTCAAACTGCATCACGAGGCAAGCCCTAACTTGGAATCCTGAATGGAAACGGAAAAGAGGAAGGCCAAAGAACACATTGCGTCGGAAAATAAAAGCAGATATGAAAACGATGAATTACAACTGGACGGAGCTAGAAAGGATTGCCCAGGACAGGGTTGGATGGAGAATGCTGGTGAGCGGCCTATGCTCCTTCACGGGGAGTAACAGTCGTAAGTAAGAAGTAAGTCTCTTGAAGCCTTTTCGGCAGTCGTTGCTAGCTCTTCAACATATTTCCGTTTGTCGACTCTAATGCTGCTCTCCACATGTTTGTTTGCTTAAGTGCATTCAGCTTGTGTCTTGACTTTCTCTGTTCTTGTTCGTCTGTTGTTAATTTTTGTCTTCTTGTTCTTCTTTCTTGAATAATATCTATGCAGAAATCCATTCCTCATGATGATGCTTGTTGCGGTCCAGAACCTCCTGTGTTAATGCTTCGTTGATCCCTCTCCAATTATCCTCCATATTAGTTTCTTGTTTCGTGTAAGGCTTGGAACATGCCGTTGAGAGTTATCTTGGATTCTTTGAACTTGTCAGTATGTCGAAGAAGGACTGTATTGAACCTTTGTAATGCTGTTTATTCAGTTGTCCAATGCTTCTCTAGCTTCAGTTTCACCTTCGCCACAACCAGAAGCTACGTCAGCTCCTCTCTTGGTCCTCACGTCTTCCATTGTCCTTCTGAAGTCTGTATTGATACAAATATGAACTATCTGGTTCTCTGTTGTGTGGTCCGGTGAGACTCATCTAAATTTGTGTATGCGTTTGTGTGGGAATATTGTTCAGCCTATAATCAATTTGTTGAATGTACGTAGGTTCGTAATTCTCTCACAATTTTTGTCCCTTTCTCATAATCCATGTCGTATCATGATATCCTAACACTTGGTGTTGTCTTTTCCGACTTTGGCGTTTAGATCTCCTAATAAGATGGTGAGATCCTTTCCTGCGCACTTCACTATTATTGATTGCGTCCTCTCATAGAAATGATCTTTAGTGTCGTCGTTACTATCATTGGTGGATGCATAATATTGAATGCTATTCATTGTGGTACCCTCCATCTTTGTTTTGAAGGATGCTATGATTATTCTGGATACACGATATTCCCATCCTATATGTGGATTACGTGCATATTTGGAGAGCATAAGAACAACTTCATGAGTGTGTAGAGTATTTTCCTCTTCATGACTGGCGTACAGAAGCACCTCTCCCATATCTAGCCTTTGCTTTCCAGCTTAAGTTCAACGCGTTTCTCTTATTACAAGTTCTGCCAATTAGTGTCTCATCACTTCCTCAGCTATTTGATCGGTCCTTCCAGTCTTCCACATTGTCCGGATGTTCCGTACGCTTGTAAAGGTTGTTGCTCTGGTTGTTAAAAGGGGCACTGGCCTCATGATTTCCGAAGAATACTGGCTTTCACCACGAGGCGTCATAATTCTTCTGAATAAAGATCCTTCATCTCGGAGGACAGGGTTTAGATGGTTTTATTTATTTATTCTGGTTAACGTTTTTTAGTCAGGTTTCTTCCATGGGAATGTGAGTCCCCGAACTGATTTCGTGGCTCGTCGTTGAATGCGTCTTAAAGTGTCCTTATCCTTTTGCAGTGAGGGTAGAAATGCTATGTTTCCATACTCTAAATGGGGACGAATAAAACTTGAAGATCATGTGGAAATTTCTTCCGTCACACCGACTAAAAATGTGCTCCAATGTTACCAGTGCAAGGTTTGCTCGTAAGGGATTTTCGTCACAAATGGCGTAAGACTTCAAACCGTAGGGTAAAAGCACTTCTAAATCTCTTTCAACTTCGAATACTTTTAGATGGGAGTCGCATATGTTATAGCTGTAGTGTGTAACATATCTCAGACGGACTAATTTACACTTTGAAGTGTTAAAGGTAAGTTCGTTATCATCTGCCCGACTTTGAAGTCTAGTCAGACTCTCATGAAGTGCCAGACTATCCTCTTGGTTGTGTATCCCTCTCCAAAGTTTCACATCATTATCAAAAAGTCTGACGATACCTGTTGTGGAGGATCGTTTATATAAATCAAGAAGAGGTCCTAGTACGAAACCCTGAGTTCCTAGTACTGAACCTAGCCTTTAAGTATACTATCGACCTTAAGCACTTAAAATATATGATGCCCACCCCGAGACAAACCTCATAAAACACAGTAAGCGAAGAAAGGTCATTTTAGTCTTAAATTTGCTTTAATTTTGTACCATATACGTGCGAAACATTTAAAGACTGGTGATATTTCCTTAACTTTCATCAAAATAGTCTCACGACAAACGACACGAAAAAATTCGTCAAAATGTAACGAAATAAAAAATTACCCCTATTTGAAGGTCGAAAATGCTAAGATCCTCGTGGCGCTCCGATTAGTTGGTACTTTAGAGCGCTGAGTATGGATTGTGACGGCTTTTTCGAGTTAGAGAAAAGTCGAATAGATTACCGCAGTTACAGGTAAGTTCAATAATGTTATCTGACAGCTGAAACAGGTATATCGAATTGGACAATGGCCTGAGGGCTATATTAGTGTCCAACTTAAAGCCTGGGGAGGAAGCACCCGATGACTCCTTGTCGGATTCAGATCTTGAAAGTAATAATTCGGAAAGCTTGGAAGACGAAGATGTTGATATTGAAGAAAACCCTATCAGTGACCAGGAGGCGAAGGCAAGATTGAATTATTTGTCTATCGTTGTTTTGTGAATGTGAAGAAACTAGGCTTTGTCGAGAAAGTTTAGGTGATCACTTACCATGGTAGATGGTATCCTCAAGAGACTGTTAGTTTTTGAATTTACATCCAAATTAGTAAATATTTTAATGTGGGGAGTAATTTTGGTCGTAGGTTATTAGAAATTGCTTCACACAGCTGTATCTTTATTGTTAATACTAACAAAACGTAAGACCATAGTCTCTGTTAGCTAATATTATAAGCTGTGTTTGATGAGATTCAAAGCGGCTGGATTGCACAGTCTCCAGAATTAATATTTTGAGTGTCTTGTCACAAAAAATGCAGTTCCAACATAATTATCTTCTACTTAGCAGCGTCATGTGACTTGATCATCTTTTCACCAAGTTTAGTGAATAATGTGTGATGAAAGCATCTAAGGATAATGTGTCGATAAAGTTTGAAAATAATTCATTATGATGTCCTCAAAGGTAAACGTTATAGGTCAGGTCTCTCTTGTACTGCAACGAATGTGAGAATAAACATCTGGGTTTGAAACTACATGTTCCACCAAAATGTTCTAGTCGTTAACATGTTAACTTGGAAAAAGGTATTTAAGACTGAATTTTTAATACTTCGGTCAGTCGTATGAACTAAGTCATTGTTTTTGTAATTCAAAACATTAATGTAAGATCATTATTTATCAAAAGACGCTGACGGTAGCTGTGATGAATGTGTACTGATACACTTTTACACTTTTATTGGGATTAGTTCCTAAGAAATAATATTCTCACCATCTAACCAGAATTTTTGTACTGATTCGTATTTCATAATTGTCATCGTGTGTTTGCTTCATTCATCAACATCTGTAAATAAAAGAAGTAATTATTTGAATTTCTGGTCAATAATTGATACAAAACAAAAATCGAGGACATTGTTTAATTTGTTGAAATTTATTGCCTTTAAATTTATATCCTATTACGCAGAAAGTACTTGATGTAAGCAAAGATGTGTAATATGTTCAAATTTAGCTTTATGTATGGTCCAATATTCGACATCAAAACCTCTTTAAAGGTCAACACGCACTACCTCAGTGGATTTTTTAATATCTAGCTCAAACCTTAAATCACAAACAGGACAAAAATCTTACTTGACTGATTCGTTTACCTTTAATCTTATCTTTCCAAACCCTGCTTATCGTAACTCCGAAGCTGACAGAATGCTAGTTTGATTCAGTATCCCAATTTTATATATCGAAAATAAAAATAACTTTAGGATCTTTAAAGTATTAATCCATGGCTAACATCCGTTAGTAGTAAACATTAGTTCCATCACCGGGGATCTGGTGATCCGGTTGTGATATGAATTTCTTACCAAGAAAAAAATTCACTAATAACATTCGACATACTTTCAGCGTTGTTTGGCTTTGATTCTCTTAAAGTATCTTAATTCGTGTACTTCAAGAGCTAGTGATTTCTTTTATTTCTATTTGTTCCCTTGTGGAAAAGCAATCATTTTGGCTAGGTGTCAAGGCATCTTTATGCTATCTGCTTTTTTGTACATGATAAAAGCTTTTGAATAGTTAAAAGTAGTTAGTTTATTGTTTGGATAAATTTCCCAAAGAGCTATAGTGACAATTAGTCTTGTATTTAATAATTTTGCATTCTAATTATTAAAGCAGTATATATGACAGGGTATTAGTCTTCATACGAAGAACCGCTAGCAAATAAACCGCAATAGTCATACTTCTTTTAGCCACTTAATACTGAAACTTTTATTATTAGTCACGTCAGCTACTTTCTAGTTTCGGTGTTGAAAGTGCTCACCATTTTTGTAGCCTAACTTGTAATATGTTGTGTTTTGAATTCCTCAGTCTGCTGCTGCATTGTGCATCAAAGTGGGAAGTTTCTCAGATCCAGTAGAAGCTCAGGGCTTATCACATTTTTTAGAGCATAGTAAGTTTTATTAATCTAATGCTGTTGAAAATTTTGTGTACTTCTATGTATATTTTATACTTGTAAGAAGTAACGATTCCCCATATTTTCTCACTTCTTGAATCACTAGCACTCAAAGAGTGTCGATCTAAGAAAATAATCGGCTCAGACCAGACCATATAAGAACTTGTTTTTTTTTCATTGTTTAACAGTGATTATTATTTGTGTACATCAGTTTTGATGATATTATAGTTTACTACACAACAGTATAATTCCTCGACTTATCACGTACCTAACTGTTGATAGCTTACATTTACAAAATATTACCTAATGTTTCTCAGTATAAGTCTGTCAGGAGTATACTGTTTTGATTCAAGCAAAGCGTATCCATGGTAAACAATCGTGGAATTTGTACTGTAAGATGAATTTACTTAAGGATTAATTTGGTAATTTCTTCCATAAAATACAACATACTATTTGATGCAAATTAACGTTTAATAATATTACACACATATTAATTTTTATTTTCTTTACAGTGGTATTTATGGGTAGTTTAAAATATCCAACAGAGAATGATTTTGATGCATATCTTAGTCAGCGTGGTGGAACTAATAATGCTTGGACAGGGAATGAATACACTTTATTTCATTTCGATGTGAAACGTAAACATTTTGCTAGTTGCCTTGATAAATTTGCCAATTTTTTCATTTCACCACTTTTAAGCAAAGATAGCACAGATCGTGAGATAAATGCAGTTAATAGCGGTAAGTAAAGTACCCCTTGAGTATTTACCATATATATAGTTCTACTAAGAATTATTTGTATACATATATAGGCGATTCAACTTCTGTAAAATTGTTATATGAACACTTATTTGACCATTCTTGTATTTTTGTCTCAAATTGAATTCACACATTTAAAGTATGTTTAAAGTAAGGGATATTCACTTGAAGATGATTTATGGAGATTAGTTTCATATGTAGGTTGTATTTATCATAGATTTATCTGTATCACTGAAAACCAGGGGACCATTGGGGTGTGACTGGTGTTCAGATGTATCAAGAGTGAAACGATTGTCACCAATGTCATTGCATAACCGTATCTGTCACAAATTGATCAATATTGAAATTATATCATTATATGCTAGCTTAGTGGTTCTTATGGTTAGACGTTCACTGCAAAACTTGAACATATTATGTTCGATTCCCGATGTGTGGTTGTGGTCGCACATTACTGAGGAGTCCCATAGCATGACGAGCCAGCTATTTAGCATGTTATTTCCGAACGAAGAGTAAGTGAACGGTAACTGCTAAGAATTATTTGTGGACTATTATTACATATATTCCTATTGGATAACTATTAAGTAACTAGATTATATGTATGTTCATATTCGTTTTATCACTAACTTTCGTTTGATTCATTGAACACTATTACACGATTTATTATTCTCAAGTTACTCCCAGTCTATTAGTTACAGTCTTACATTCACAGCCGCTCTTGGCTTAATTTTGTATAATTATTAATTTTCATTTTATGGCGTGGTGCGGTCTGATTTGCTTGTATATAAACTACGTATTACATTATTCATACATTTTTTTCCTTTTTTACAGAATTCGAACTGGCATACACCAAGGATTCTTCACGACTCCACTATTTAATTGGTCATTTGTCTCGTAAAGATTCTCCCTACAAACTGTTCGGTTATGGTATGTATGTTCATCTTTTATTGGCTAATTTTTTATGTGTATATCGTTCACCCTCCACTGTTCGATGCCTACAAATGTGAATTATCAAAATTCTTGGTTTACGCTTATCGTGTGTAAATTATCTTTGAGATTGTTTCTTATCCTCTTTTGTCTTCAGGCAATTGTAAATCGCTACGTGAAATCCCGGAACAAAATGGTACTGATATTTATTCACTTTTAAATAAACATCGAAAGAATTTTTATTCTTCTGATCGAATGACACTTGCTGTACAGTCGAAACGTAAGTCTCTCAAAAGTGTTTACACTTTAAGTTGACAGTAGGTTTGATCTATGCTTTTAATATGTTTTTTTTCGAAATCGAAACTTTTCGTTTGGAAGAGTATTCTGCTAAATTTGGATGCTGTTGTATACCTTATTTTATTTCTAGAATATGTGTTGATATAGTAGGATACCAAAAACAGCGGCACAAATATAGTGGTAATGATATTGTGACTGAAGAGGAAAGCGGTGACTCAATAAACAAGAAGTGTTTAATAATAGGTTCTGTTCATTGAAAAATACAGTCAAGAAGAACTTGATTGGGTTGGTGAAGTTTGTCTCAATTTTTTTGTTCAAAAAGTGTGACGAAAAACTATTGGGTTTTATTTCCGACTGTGCCTGATAACGTCTCACACCACTGAGTTTTGTGGTCTCTTGGACCCGAACCAAACTGTAAAATTCCATGTCTATAGCAGAATATCTTTCATTCGACGGCTTCATGTCATAAGCTAAAGATATATACTTTCGTTTAATCCAGATGCAACATCGCAGTGTGAAGGTCACTGAGATTAAATTCATAAAAAAAACATTCAAGCTACCGAAATCGATATTTCAAGACTGATAGTGTTGTATCTGAAGAAGATTAAATTATGGTTAACTTTCAGGAACTATTTGTAGACTGTTATATATATACTTTTATTGCATAACTGTTAAGTAACTAGATCATATGTGTATTCATATTCCTTTTATCATGAATTTTCATTTGACCTATTGACTACCATTATACGATCTACTATTCCTAAGTTATTCCCAATGTATTAGTTACAGTGTCACACTCACTTGCGGCTTAATCCTGTATAATAATAATTTTTTATTCTACGGTGTAGTGCAATCTGGTCTGCTTGTATTTAAATCACATGTTTGAAATATGTGGTCCACACAGCGGAGACTGAGATCTTATTTTTTACTCAGCGGGCGGGGCTAGGCGAGAAGTTACTGTTTGAAGGACCAATAAGGATTCAGAGTTGACGCGAGGCTGCTAGTGCTGTTTTGACGTGTCATTGGTTTACTATAGGAACAGAGTCTGATTGGCGATTTTGTCACGTGATAATTGAGAAGGGCAAAAAATATATCAACTGGCAGCGGGAATTTCGGGAGTTAAAAGAAATTAATAACAATGATAGTAGTAGTGAAAAGAAATAAAAAGACACCCTCTTCTGAACAATTGCAGTTACTATTACAGCAGTAGCAGCAGATGTTCGCTTCTCAACAGCAAATCCTGGAAGCAGTTTTGGGGAGACTTTCTACTCAACCAGATATTCCAGGACATAAAGGTAGAGAGTCATATCTCAGTCCAATCTCGGAATTTATTTTCGATGCAGATAGTGGTCATAATTTTAAAGCATGGTTTGGCAAAATGAAAGACATTTTCCAAGTACAATTTGTCGCTATGGACGACGCAAACATAGTTTGCCGTTACAGAAACTTGGTTTCAATAAGCATCAAAAGTATAAAAAGCATATCCTGCCTAAACATCCATGAGAAGTCAATTTTAATGGAACTATCAACCATTTAAATAAAATGTTTCATGAACAGATATCACCATTTCATATCCGGTATAATTGTCTACAGTTGACTAAAGAAGCTGACGAAGACTACACTACGTACGCTGGTAGAGTAAATTTACGAACAGAACGGTTTACATTAAATGTATTATCCGCTGATCAATTTAAATGCTTATTACTCACTTCCGGTCTAAACTCTCCCTTCGATGTTGACTTTATCATGCGGTTGTTATCCCTTATGGAACTTGACAATGAAAAGACCCTGAAAACTGTTACTGTTGAACGCCAACGATTAATGCAATACGAGGCACAACACGTGGACGGGGTTGAGAAAGTTCACAGCACCAATCCGGAGGTGAAAAATACTGGCAATTTCATTAGTTTCAGTTTAGAAACCGTTGCAGAAATTACACTTCAGAGAACAGATACTACACATGATCTTAGCTCAGAGAGCTGAGAAGCATGGCACAAATCCATGACGTCACTGACAAGTAGACTGAGTCATGTTGGTAGGTGTAGACTACCTGATTGGGGACCGCGAGATGATAGCAACCGATGATTAGAAACTCTGGATGACATGGCTCAAAATCGCTTGCAATGGCGCAGGTACATCCACTTTTTGTGTTCTCCCAAATTCTAATCTTCTGAATTCTTCATGTTCCTTTTTTCCTCTTTCCAAATTTATTTCACTGTATTACACTCCTTGAATAACATCTTCAAACCCTAATCTTTCCGATTTCTACTTATACTCTTACCACCTCTACCACTACGGGATTTGAATCGACAACTGCATCTCTGTACTAATGTGGTGTGGCAACTCGAACTGATGTACCTACGTACGAAGTTCTACGTTGTTACTGACTGACTGACTGACTGACTGACCAACGATTAATAAACCTAAAACAGAGTACAGCTATTCTGGAAACAAAAAGTGCGGCGCCATCTAACCATTCTGTTCATGCTGTTAAGACAGGTCGAAGACGGAATAGCACCATGAGTTATAAATTTCACTCAAAAATTTTCAAACATTCAACTAAATGCTTGGAATTTCTCGGAAATTTGCCGGTTTAGAAATCACAGATTTCCTATATGCAATAAAGTCGATCATAAATAAATAGTCTGCCGAACTAGAGAAGTTTGAGGTCAAGGCCGATGAAGCATCTTCACCAGTATCAAAAGAAGTATATAAACAATATGTATGCTACACTGCCATTAAGCATAGATGATAAAAGAATGCATGTTGATGGTGTTGATATTCGATTACGATTGGATAGAGCATCGGATACCAAGTTAATTTCTAAACGAATATATAATTTAATTGACTGTTCACAAGAATTACCGACTGACAATACAGCTCGGAATGCATCTGGAGACTTATATTAAAGCTTTTTGGAATAATAGAATGCTTTGTTGTATTCCGAGACAACTACTTCAAAAGCAATTTTTGCTTAACGAACAGACATGATTTTGACCTTATTAGTGTAGATTGGATGAAGAAACTAAATCTATGGAACTAAATCTATGCGAAATATGCTCGATGAAAAGCTCAAGTAATTCTAGATATCTGCCTATCGTTCATGTAACTGAAAAAGCTATGACGATAGAAGATCGTTTGCGGAACATACAAACTTATTCCGGAATAAGTTGGGACGCTGCATTATTGGAAAGGTAAAATTGTACTTACGACAAGATATGAAACCTTTTTTTCATCCAAAACGTCGAGTTTCATATGCAGCTAACGACAAAGTTGACAAAGAACTAGATCAACTAGAGAAGCTCGGTGTTATACAACCTACTAACCATTCGACATGAGCAGCACCAATTGTAGTAATTCAGAAAGCGAACGGAGCTATTCGCCTTTGTGCAGATTTTTCAACAGGATTAAATGATGCTTTACAAAACCATTCATATCCACTACCTTTGCCAGAGGATTTATTTGTTAAATTAAACAGTGAACTTGATTTATCTGAAGCCTTCTTACAAGTGGAAGTTGACAATAATTCAAAGGAGTGTGAATTCCTCGAGCCTGTCAAATAACTTGAATATGTATTTGATAAGGATGGTCGCCGCTCAGACCCAGATAATGTAAATGCTATAAAAACATGCCCAGACCGACTGATGTTACAACGAACCATTCATTTTTGGGGTTAATTGGCTATTATGGTATGTTCATAGCTTACATGTGTAGACTCATTAAACCAACTTTTGATGACTAATGCAACATGGCACTGGACAAAAGAACGTCAAAATTCTTTCGACAAAATAAAAATAATTTTATCTTCTAAATTGTTGCCTACCAATTATAATTCAAAGCTTGAAATAATTGGGGCCACTGATGCTCCAAACTATGGAATTGGAGCTGTTATCAGTCAACGTTTTCCTGATGATAAAGAAAAGCCCATTACTCATGTATCCCGAACTCTTAATGTAGCTAAACGAAAATACAGTCAAACTGAAAAAAGACGATTAGCTTTAGTTTTTGCGGTAAAGAAATTTCATAAAATGACTCGACTAATTGCGAATCAGAAACATAAAAGTGAAGATTCTTTTATTGCAACGATATCGTTGGAAGAGGATATTCATCAAATACTACAAGTTGCTGTAAAAGCAACACCATTGTCTGCTGAAGATATTAAATGCTATACTCAAGAAGACTACGAGCTGAAACAGATTATTAGTTACCTCGAGCATAGGTGATCTATTCATATAGACAACAAATATACTGAACATTATGCTCATTGACGGATTTCTCTATCACTCGTGGACATATACCTGATGTTTGGACATTGGGTAGTTATACCCACGAGCTTACGTCGTAAGGTGATGTTAGAACTGCATGCTGTACACACGGATAGCACGGATGAATGCACTTGCACGTAAATACGTCTACTGGCCAAATATTGATGTTCAAATCGAAGAATATATTGCGAAATTTTCTGCATGTGCTCAAACCTCTAAAGCCTCTCGAAAGACAAAAATGAAACGTTGGGGAGCTACGACAAAGCTATGGTCATAAGTGCACGTGGATCTTGCCGGTCTCACAAAGGGGAAACAGTTCTTGTTAATTGTTGATGCTCTCCCCAAATGCCCAAAGTTCACTACATGAAGTATGTACTGTGGAAAAATGGAGACAGGAATTCAGCTTGTTTTGGTGTCCAGATGTATCGGTATGGGATAATAGACCTCAGTTTACTTCTGCGGAATTCTCCAGGTTTTCCATCGCCGGTGCCGTTAGGCATATGGAGACACTTTCCTTGCCATCTTCAGTATAACGGGTTAGTTGAGAGGTTTGTGGGCAGCTTTAAAAAGCACTGCTTAAATCTGAGGGAGAAGGAGAAGTAAAGGATGTCATTCAAAAACGTTTACTAACCCACAGCGTAATTCAGAACCCAGCAACAGTTAATCACGAAAGTCCAACAGAAGCGGTTTGGAAGAAAAATTAGGGTACCAATAGAACAAATAAAATCAAGATCCAAACATAGTCTCCAGTGATAAACGAGTGGAACAATGAATGATATGGTGCATTGTTCAGAGAGTTCAATGTGGGGCAGACGGTAGTAGGAAGAGATTTCCATGGAGTAAAGTCAACTTCAAAGATTGGGACTGTGGTCTTCAGAAAAGGAAACGTTATTTCTGAAGAAAAAGTCGGAGAATATATATGGGTGCAGCATGCAAACTAACTTCGGCCGACTAAACAAGAGTGGGAGACTGGGAGTGATTTAATGCACGATATACCATTAAACATATTAGCTGAATTGGATAATGAAACTAAAAGGGACCCAAGTAACAGGAGAAAGTGTACGATACCTCAAAGGCGGTCTCAGCGCATTGGATAGCTGGTTTTCCCTAGTATGAAACTCATCAACGATGCTCGTCCACAATCTCGCCGGTACTGGAAGCCGGTTAGTGACATTAATTGTATTGAGGATGGTTACGCAATATTGCGAACTAACTGAGGTTAGACTTGTAAATCGTTAGATGCTATGTCAATGGTTCAAACGTTGAGTGTTCATCGTTAAACCTGAATGTTTTGGGTTTGATCTACGGTATCGTGAGTGCATATTACTAAGCAGTCCCATATTATGAAAAAATAGCTTTCCAATCCTTTCTGATTTAACGATTTTTTAAAACTCAGGCCGTTTCACACGGTAAACGATCAAGTTCAATAATCTCATTTAACATATTTTGATCGTGAGTAAATTAGTCAATACTTGTACAACTGATTTACTTGCTCTTTTTAACTGTAAATCTAAGCACAATCCAACTCGACAGTATCGTCTTACTTTAGTAAATTTTTGAAATCACATGTAGAAAAATTCATCAGCATTTAGTTAATCAGTCTTTTCACATAAAAAAGAACATTATTGTTTACGTAATCACTTCCAGCAGTTGAATGCATAATGAATAATTAGGACATTTGTTTACTTTTAACATTACACAATATATATTGCAAGTTGTTTCTCATTTGACTAGAAATCGTAAATTAGTTGTTTGAATTCTCAAGTATCAGCACTGGTTAGGATAACTGAAATATCGGCACAAAACAGCATCGAGCATGTAAACTGAAATCCGAAAATATCTTGATTGCTAAGTTTTGTAATTCATTTTTAACAAGGAAAAACGTAGTTGTGTAGTTTGAATAGAGTTGATAGTGATTAGCGCCGTACAGTAGTAGTAGTAGTAGTTACTCATCTCTTACAAAGCTCTATTCCACCAGAATTAAACTTTTGTTAAAAAAATATACAAGCCTCATGTTTATTCAAATTCAGTTAGTTTATTTGCTTGTTTAAAAAAAACTCACTTTTCAGATCATTTAGACGATCTGGAAGTATTGGTACGAAAAATTTTCTCTGATATACCAAGAATGTAAGTTGTATGATAACATATTATCACTATTAAGAACTTTCACCTAATAGTAAATGTATTTTTTTAAATGTCCCAATGAGTAGAAAAATTGTATTCTTGGTGTAAGCCACTTCTTTACTCTGAAGAAGTGGTTAAGATTAAGTCACAAAACACCAGAAATACAATCTTTCTACTCATTGGGACATAACAAAATATATTTATTATTAACTTTCCATTTAATGCTCAATTTATTTGAAACTATCAAGTTCAACCTTGGTATTGATACCCACCCGTAAACTTTCAACTAAATTTGAATGAATAGTTTCACAGTAGTTGGGTGCCAATTTAATGTAATACATTAAGGAAGAAAATTATGTTTGTTAAATCTCAGCGATTGAATTTTAAGTAAATCCAACTGTTTGCACTTAGTTACCTGGTTCAAACTTTTTTCAAGGAAATATAACCAAACATCAAAATTATCGAATATAAATAAGTACATGGTTCCCTGGCTAACTGTTTACTAAACAGGTCATCCGATTATGTTGACAATGTTAAAAGTAAAAAAATTTGCTATAGTACCTATGAGATTTCTGGTGTGTAAAGAAAAGTATGTTTAGATAACATACACTTGCTTGATTATATTTCCTTGGAAAAGCTTAGACCATATTTCTGAGTGAAACACTGGATTTACTTAAAATGCAATCGCTGAAATTTTACAAATATGATTTTCATCCTTAATTTATTATGAATATTATTCTATAAAATGCTTCGTAGTGTAAGGGATATGTAGAGATTGTCGAGTTGCATAGTTTACATCACAAACTGACCTTAGTTATAAAATCATTGGAAAGTAGGAAGGACTACACAATTGTTTCGTCTTAGTACTGTAATAGTGATGATCAAGAGTTAATTCCTGAAATCCAACTGCTGAACCGTAACCTATGGAGTTCAATCGTGTTGAATATGAGGCTTTTACCTACCAATGGCATTGGTAGGTGGTTGCGCAATATTACGAACTGACCGAAGTTGTAGATGTGAAGCATCGGATGCCAACTCATTGGTCTTATAATTGAACATTCATGTCGATGCCCAAAAGTTCTGGTTTTGGTCGATGGTGGCGTCGTGGCTATGCTGTGCTGGGTAGTCTCACAGTAGGACGAAATAGTCTTCTAATGCTTCCTGGTTTTCAATGGTTGTTTAAGTACGATCATTTCGTGATGTAAGCCGTAGGTACCGGACCGTCGAATACACCTTACTCTACCTAAATTAAGATGGGAAATCAGATAGTCTTTTTATAATCCCTACACACAACAAATGTATGGTCGTACACGTGAACCTTTATATGGTTACTGAATGACATTAGACTAGGAGTCATATTTTTTTGAGAGTGAGTGAATGAATACTACCTTTATCATCTGATTGCGTGCATCTTAATATGTAGATAATTATGGTTGCAAACTGCTATCCCACTGCATACGGAGTGTTTAATTTAATAAACCATAGTTTTGCTAAGGCGCATGGATTGATTTGATATCCTGACACCTTTTTTGTACAAAATTAATGCAAGTTGAAATTCCACATGTATATGTCGGAAATAAGAAATTCCTAAATGCCAGCTTATAAGAATTTAAGGTGAATTCAAGGTCAACTTACAACATATTTTCGTTACATTATTCTATGAGTTTGCTCAGTTCATAAATTAAAAGCATATTCATCAGTTTGTAACTAATTAATTTAAGCAGTTTTTTTGATTCTTTGTGGGTCTCGTTCGGCAAAGCTTGTATGCAGAAAATATACCTCCCACTCTATCTGACGGGGCAGGAAAGAAGAGGATAAAGATAGTCTCGTTTATTGTGTTGGAGATACAAAATGGTAGTTCAGCATACGAGTAGCATATAATCTAAATTCATAAGTTAATCGAGTAGTAGATACAAAAAGGTCTTAATGGCTTTGCTCATTTATAACTAAAATAGAACGAGAACAATATGATTAAAAAATATCAAATAATCACAATCTTACTTAAATAGTACAACCAATAAGTATGTCGTTGTCGGGCTTCAACCATTACTCCTGTAAGCTCTTCTCCACGGAAACAAAAGTGTTCAAACTACTAATCAGTACCTTCGACATACTGTAGAATTATACTTAATTATATCCTTTAATAACTTGATTGGATAAACGATGATGCCTAGTGGTCAAGGGGTTCGAGTTTTAGTCACTAAGTGTCTGGTTTGAACTTCATTTCACTTCGGTTTGGGCAATCACGTAGTATCATCAGCCCTCACATGTAGGATGCTCAAGTACATGTTGAATGAGTTTTATCTAAATATAGTCTTCTCTGAACGCTTTCATAATCATAAAGTTATCTGTTACTCTTATAAATAACCTTTAATCTGCTCCCAAACCCAAAATATAGGGAGCGGGTTTCTAACATGATATTTATTTATTTAAACACATAGATATTGGTAAAAATGAGCATAAAAATATGTATGCGTCACACAATAACAATACGATCGTAAAGAGATAGAGAAAGGAGGGTAAGTATAATAAAAAAATGAATAGAAATCAGTGTGTAAGAGTAAAGTAATGATAATAGTACTACCAGAAATAATTCTTTTAGTTGAATAACTTACGTTCATTTTTATGAAGAAAGTAAAAGAGGGCTACAGCAAGATCGCCACCAGCTTCTATTATGAGACATGTCTGATAACGTTTTAAGCCATTGTATCTCACTATCTCTAGGACCCCGATCGATGAGTCTTGAAGTTTTAACAGATTCCAGTCCTGTACAGCTTTCTTTCATACCACGACACTGTGTCATATACTGACCATCTCTCCACTTTTACCAACCGGTCCCATAGTCTGTAAATAATGCAAGGTGTGGAATTCGTTAAGGAAAGCTGTAAACAGAGCGTTGTCATCTCTGTGCCATATAGATCACATAAAATATTACTATGACAAAACTAACTTGATAGAATTATCTTTTGACAACAGTTAAGCGAAAAATATCCATCGAGTTAGTCTTGAATTGTAGTTTTGATAATATAATGCTTATTTACCTTTTGTTTTTGTGTTTCTTTTTTATCGTTTAATTCTAGTGGACTACCTGTGACAAACTTTCAATGTGTTGAACCTTTCGATATTAATTCATTTGCTAAATTATACAAAGGTGAGTATGAAACTATTTAATTAAGTTAAATTGATTTTCTATACATGTATTTTCTAATCGAAATTTCGTCACAAGCTAACATTGTCGGAAGAACCATTGAAAATAAATTAGAGCTCACTATATAACTATTTTCTCCGCATTTGGGAATCAACAATAGTTGGAATTCATTCATCAAGTCATCATACATAGACACGAATCTAAAATATTACGAGCTCTCTCTTACTATCCGTAGGCTAAAACATGATTGATTCCACTTAGAAATCCTCAGATGGGCAACATTTCTAACTTCAGTGTATTATTAATAAATTATTCGGGTGTTTTTATAAATATTTTGACTCCTAATTCCAGAGTTGTAGAGGTAGTTATAGTATTAGTTGTAGTAGAAAATATTAGCTATGAGAGATCAGATTATAGAAGAAAATATGGATTAGTGGGATAGAACAGTCTATAGTCCATTTATAAACTTAGGATCTAATAGAAGACAAAAAGGGAATGCACTTGCGTTATTGCAAATAAGTTTAATTCATTTTATCCAGTTTCTAACCATTGGTTACGATAATTGTGTGAGCCCCAAACAAATAGTCTGCATCTACCGACATGTCTCAATCCAACAGTCAGGAACGTCATGGAACAGTGCCACGTCTTGATTTGACTACTCGTAACTTTCTTCCAACCTGCTTCTCCACCAGCCGTTATTTCGCGTTGAGTTAGTCTCTGGCTTCTGGGCATATGTGACACATCTCCCAGCCACCTCAGTCGATCAAGATTCACTACCTTATCAACTAATTTGTCATACTTATCTGGTACTCTGCGTCCAACCTCAGTATTACTAACTAAACGCTTGCAACATACGCGAGGAATGCTTCTAAGGGATTTATGATCAAATATTAGTAACCTATGAATATCCTCTATTTTTAAGGTAAATGTTTTACGGTGAAACTATAATTTATGGACGACCTTTGAGTGACGCTAAAATGACCTTAAAAATGTTCACTTACTAACTAGGACTAAATGAAGACTATAAAGCAGTGTGAGGAATTAAGATTATGATTCAAAGTTGATGGTTAAGGTTAGGAACTAGGTTTAAGGTTTTCGTTACGAACTGGCTTCAGCTAGAATGCCAAAACGCTATCTAGCCAAATGGATGACTGAATTTCGCGCCAAAATCCAGGATCTTTAATCTTTTATCTGATTGGCTCGTCCATAAATTACAGTCTACCATGTTTCACGTCTTTCTGTAGTTCTACTACTACTATTACTACTATCATTACTGTTGTGGATGAGAACATAGGTGGAGACAACCGGGTGTAATTAAATACAAAATTACAGAATATCTTGGTAAAATGTGAGAACTATACATTAAATACTTCATTTGCAAATTTTCATCATTTGTCTTTCACATTCTGTATGACTCTTCCTACTCTCAATTCCTTTCTATTTCCTTTTCTATTCTCTTCAAATTGATCTTATTAGCCTTCGTCTGCCAGGGTTACATACTACTTATGTCTGTTGACATAAGTAACATACACCACACTACTACTACGTAACATCATCTGAGTTGAACTATAAATATCTGTCAAAGGACTCGTTGTAAATACCAAAAAATGACTGAACTACCTGAACTGCTTTTACATATAAATTTGGTAACGAATCAATAGCGCAGAACATGTTTAGCTAAGAGAGATAACATTGAAGAACACATTAAATGTGTAGGCGAATTTCGATTACCTAAAAATAAAAACGAAAATCTAAGTTTATAAAGTTAAAAAATTGGTCTATAAACAGGGTTGGAAGATTTAACCGTCTTCAATATTCCGATAGATACAAAACGCAGTGCATATACAATCTGAAGTTTTGTTTTGTATATTTTTTATTTAAATATGTAAACATTAGTGCAAGGAGGCACCAAATATATATGCGCCACACAAATCATTCGATTTGTATGAGGACTGGGATACTATCCAGGCTCCCAAACCGAAACAGGTGGTTTTCTTAGAGGACCACACTCGGAGGCTTTGACCTGGAGGTCTACTCCATAAGGCAGTGAGCAACGTTGGGAGATGCAGTTCCATGGTAGCCGGTGACCAACAATGAGTCCATATGCCACTTGTTCCCATAAGATCCTGAAGCCTGTGTGCACCATTGGTTTGGAATCAGGGTTTTCCAACTACCCTAGATGGACCCTCCATATGCACCAATCCGGTTAAAGCTCTCGACATTCGCTTTTTGTCCCCTCAATTTGGTAAACAACGCCGGTGCCGCAAAAAGGCAGTGAGTAGGACTTCCCTGGCAGTGTCTGTATACACATGACTATATGAGAGCATTTCGAGAGGGAAAGCGGACTCTTCTTACTTTCGAGCCGTACCAGGGCATTTGTTTTATATGGTGATGTTACCGTAAGATGCTTTACATCAATAAATTTCTAAATAACTCGGCTTTCAAACAGTAGGCTAGGTAGTCTGGTTTAAAGGTCAATTTGCGTATTTTATATTGCCCAGTGGATTAGCATTACTATACCTCACATAAATAAAATGTATCTCAGAATTTCGAGTGAACAAACTTGTGCATGATTGATAAAGTATTGTCTAAGTTCTAGTGAGAAGTTTAAGCTGATGGAGTTTAGACAGGTTGGCAGTGAAAGAATTATCTACTAAATGGCATTGAATAGTCGTCTCGCTATATCGCGAATTGACTGGAGTTACCTGTGCACTAATAGACGTCAGTCAAATAGTTATAATAATCATGGGTTTACTGTGAGATCTGAAGGTCTTGAATTCGATTCCTGGTAGGTTCATGAATGCTCACTGCTAGGGAGTACCATACTAATACTGAAACAACTATCTGGCGCTCCCTAATTTTCAATCGTACCCTAACTCAAATTAGTCTGTACTAGATACTACCTATCCAGTTTGAAAAATCTACAAATAACTGGCTAGTATTTAAAAAGAAAATCGTTATTATAATTATTGGTTGGATTGAGAAACTTGTTACGCTAGCTTTCTATTTGCATGTTTTTCATCAGCATTATATGTAATTTTCTTTCTGTATTTTTTGTTTTGTTTTTTAATGATGTTAACAGTTTGTCCTTTGAGTGTAAAAGAGAAAATACGTATTGTTTGGATTCTTCCTCCACAAATCAATCATTATGAGTAAGTTGTGTTGTTCATAATGATGAGTTTTACCAGTTAGTTAGCTGTTACTTTTGTTATCGTCGTTGTGTAGCTTGAAAGAATTGAGTAATTGTGATTATTTCTAGTAGTGTGGTTGATTGAAACACGTGAAGCTGCGGTTCGGTGTTATTGTTGGTTGTGGAGGTGTTTTACTGTCAATCACTTGGTCGTCAGTTTGACTCCCTCCCAACTACTTCAATCTGTACACTTAGTTTCATTCAGTTACTGGTCCTATTATTATTATTATTGTTATTACTCGAAATGAAATGTATGAATCTATATACTCATTTATTGTATCAATTTGATTTAGTTGTCATTTGAACGATTAGTAACATATTTGTATGTTGTTTACCGTTCTTCTGAGTTCTTGTATCACCGATTTAAAAAATTCCGTATATATGTAGTGTTAGGCTAATTCTCATTGTGTTATTGGATATACTCCCACTCAATAAATCCAAAAGATAAATATATTTTAAGTTTGAATCAATATATTGCAAGTCACTTAACTCAACAAATCATACATTTATCAGTCAACTGAATGAAGAGAAGAGAGGTTGTATACGTTGTTTTATGAATACCAATATGAATAGATAAATGAGTTATAATTGACTAAGTGCATTCATAACCAATAAGAGAATAGATGTAAAATTGATTGATCACTAAGTTGTGACCAATGTCATATTTGTCAAGTCCTCCTTAATGCTGATTGAATTTTATCGATCATGTTGCAGTGCGGCCACTAGTCTAAGCGACTCGACATCGCGTGCACTATGTTGAAATGTAAGTTGGTAGTTGAAAGTAGTGGATAGGAAACTTTGGACTTAGGTTTCATGTTATTCTGCACTTGTCAGCAAGGTGCACCTGTAATCTTGGCGCCATTAATGCTCGATATAATTCGATCAGCACTGAGAAGTACTTGATATTTGTGATATTGGTCACTACTCAGTGATCAACCAGTTATAAATAAATCTCAGTCATACAGGACGTCAATCGTGGCCTGAATAACTCAGTTGTAAAATCTTTGACTCTAAAGTTGGGTGACACGGAATCGAATCTATCATGGAATATCAGTCCCCTTGAGATCACAATTAATTATTGCTGGCGAGTGTTGAGTAATTCGAAAAGTAGGTGGAGTAGCGTTTCCTGTCGACTACCTCTAACCACCACCGTAAAAGAGAATAGATAAAGATAGTTAACAAGCATAGATGTATTTTCAAACATATATGGGTATGTTTCCATGGCAGATTAAATATATGTATCACCGTTAAGTGATTAATGTAAATGCAATGGTATACTTGTTTTCTCGATTGATGATCGTCATTACATGAGTTGAGGTAGTTGAGAATTGTCCGGAAGCCTAAACTAAGGGATGCATTTTTCTTTACGGACTGTTCACCTATTTTCCAACTTAGAAGTCGAATTCACTAAGTGGCTCAATGTTAAGAGTTGAGATCCCACAGTACCAGTAATTAAAGGATGTTCGCGGCTCAGAAATTCTCTTAAGACCCTGGAACCTCTGTGCGACATTGGCTTGAAACTAATATTTATCAACTGTCCTGGATATGGGACTTCTATATCTACCACGGAAATTTGACCTCCTTACTTTTTTTTTTAAAAAAAGCACTTTAGTTTCATGTGAGCAGTGAATCAAACCTTCATACAAAACACGGGGTTTTAGGTGTAAGCATTTAGAGAAGGAAATTAAACTCTTGTCAGTGCTAGTCATACCTAGGCGATATAATTAAATGAGTTATTCACTCACAACGTCACACATGTGATCCGTTATCAGTTAACGGTTGGGAAATTTTCTAACTTGTTCTTCAAACATGTGTTTATTCTTAGTCTAGGTATTTCAACTCAACAATTTAACAGATTTGCTGTTTTTTCATTGATAGCATTTATAGTTTAACTATATATTCAAAATAAAATACATCGCATAAACATTGAAGTGCTATTATTTTGTATTACATCATGTATTTTTCCCGCTTCACTTCAGATCATCTCCAATGGAAGTATTATCTTCTCTTATTGGTCATGAAGGTAGAGGAAGTGTATTGGCCTTACTTAAAAAAGAGTAAGCATTGTGTGTAATTATCATTCCATGCATTATGAACTGATGATCTGTAAAATGTTTCATAGATGCAGACTACTTGGCTGCGAACTGTTTGATAATCACACTATCAGTCGTTGAATTAGGATTACTTGACTTAAAATCAATGGTAATAGTACACAGATGTTTCCATTCTTCTTCATACTGTAAATCTTGAGCTCCGGTTTTTTTAATACTTCCCTCTTCTCGAATTAATATTCTCTATATTCGTTTTTGTATTGTTTGTTTGAACCGTCTGATTGATGTTTAGGACTGAAATTGATCAGTCTCTTATTAGCATATGTGCATCCTGTGCGGATTGCCCTGATATTGCTCTAAGTCACAAGTATTATAAGCATAAGTGGATGGCGGTTAGCAGTGGAATCCAGGACGGTTGTCCCGTCCTATCTGGATTCGATTCCTAGAGTTAGCACCAATTCCGGGATGCAGGCGCATCTAGGTGACGAGTCCCAAATGGGACGAAACGTGCATCCTGGATTCCACCGCCAGACACCAACCATCTTTGCTTATTTTCTATATTGTCTCTAATCTTGTTATCATTGCTATAATAATTATTTCAATCTGTTTATGATTTATCATTGTATTATGATATGAACACTTAGATTAAAATACATTTCATTCAGGCTCTACAATGATTACAATTGATTTATCCTTAACCCCAAAATTAGTCATCAAATTATCCAGTAATTGTTTCTACATTTTTCTCCGATAGTATAACCTATTTATATGTACATACTAAATAATTCAAAATTGTGTTTCTTTGTGAGTTTTCCAACCATGTATCTGTAGGTTATAGGTGTGGACATTATTCCGCTTACACTTCAATTTGATAACAACATAATACCATTATAACCGTAACATAGGAGTGTGGGAATGCAGTATTGCTCAAAGCCGTTTGCACAACTGTGTACTTGCTAAATGTTTGCTCTTTATTTCTCAATCCATCAGGTTCACAGATTCGTGTTCTTGGCTTCGAGTTACACTCTGAATGTGAAGGCTAATAATACACTATTTGGTTTCCCTGACAAAACTAGATGGAGCGAGGGTTCAAACCTTCGGCTTATCGACTAAAAGTTGAATACCTTAGCCATTCAGTCACTGGTTCATTTTATGAGTATATTGATCACAACAGTAATTCGGTTACACTTGTCTAACTATTCTACCATACAGAGAATCATATTTTTCTTCACTAATAAAATTTCATATCAGCAATTTTCATTTGATACAAAACAAGGGATACATAAAATTGTTGTGTTTCTGTCAATCTCAGTCATCATTTCTATAATCATTAATCAGCATGATATCTATCTACCTATATAAATATATGTATATGGTTAAACTTATCATTATCGACTTAATTATCACTTAGACTCTTACATATTTGTAGTTTTATTACATAACATTAGTCTTATAAATTGTTATGAATATTCTAAAACTCATACATGAACCATGTCAAAAAGGTGGTGACATTACAAATACCTTAATAATACTCAACAATTTGATTAGTTCCAAGAAGTATCATTGAATGATCTTAGTGTAGGAGGGTTGCGTGTATGTGTGTGTGTGTGTGCGAGTGTGTATATATAACGATCTTCTGTTTTGTTTACATGGATAATAATAACATGTCATGTATGTATTGATTGTATCATGCATTCTTTTCAGTAGATTTTATCGAAAATGATAAATACCAAAATAAACTATCAAAAAGAACACTATTGAAGATGTATCTTTTCATTAAATAATCGAATCATTTCATTAGAAATCTATTAATGGAATATAAAAGAATAAAGTACTAGGGATGGTTTTCAATAATTAATGGTGTGTTGTATATATTATGAAGTGTTTGTAAACAATGTTTATATAGCTGAAAATAGGAGTATAGTGGAAACAACTGTTTAACTGGGGTATTGTGGTTCACTTCGAGAGGGAGAGCGGACCCCTTCCACTCTCGGCTGTACCATTTGGGGCTGTACAAAAGTGATTAAAAATTAATTTCCTGATTACGAAAAAGTCAGTCGATCACTTGATCGTAATAAACGTAAAATTCTCGGATAATTGTAAGTCAGCCCAAGTTACCATACCACAATAAAGAAATGATATAGTAACAATTTTAATGAGAAATGTTGGATATTGAGAATATATTTTGAGAAGAGAGAACGGAAAACTATTTGTAAACAAAAATGAAAATGGAAGATCTAAAAGAAGATCGAAATTGAATGCACCTGGATTACTACTACTGATTCTAAGTCATGTCACTCAGCATCTCCAACTATACTCGTCACGATAATTGCGTCTACTCTAAACATGTAGGATGTACTAACCAACATTTTTACTTATTCCATTTCTAGAATAAAAGATGCTACGACAAAACAGCTGTTCAGTGTTACCGAATGTTTTTAAACATTACCTCAGCTATGATAAATCTGTAATGAAATACAACTTATAATTTTTATTCCGTCTGTTATTTGCGTTATTGTTGTCTTTACCAATTTGTTTATATGTAGGTTTGTGGAATATTATTTGATTATATAAAAATTCTACTGTACTCAGCGTTAAATTCAACATCGATATCTTTAATGAATGGTGGTTTAGAAGGTAATAATAATGGTGAACGCGTCCATACAAATCACTGTCATAAACATACTTTCGCTACATATCTACCAGAATATCAAATGGTTAAAACAGCTAATTTTCTATATACAGAACCGGAAGAAGCTGAAGATACAGTGGTTAATCTAGCCAATATGTTACATCTTGTTAAATGTGAACATGTTTATTCTGGTTATAGGCTATTAAAAAAGCCAAATATAGAAGTAAGTCATATTACTATGATTAGTATTGCTATGCATTAGACTTGACTATTGTTGATTAACTTAATATGTTCAATGGTGGTCGAGCTTATCTATTGTGATACGGTTCACTAGAATCATACTAATAGAAACAATGGATCTTTGAGATCTCCTACTATGCTCGACTAGTTGGTTAAAATGCAGTAGTAGTGAAAATAAGTTTTTTTGAGAGAAATCATACTGTTGATTGTATTGGATTGCGTGATATATCTTCCACAGCTTACCTACATCTCGAATGATATTTTCTGTTATTTCAGCTGGGACTTGGGGTTATCATTAGTTGGTTTTCTAAAGAGCACATTTTATCCTTTTCCGTGAATCTCTGTTGAGGAAAATTAATTGTGAGAAATATGGATTATGTAGGACGAAAAATCTTTCGCTTGAAGGTCGTGCATAATTGTCATCAAATAAGTATTCCTTTGACTCCGTGGTTACTCTTATAGATTGGAAACATCATCGATACCAAGTATCTTTTTCATATTCCTCACGAGAAAATATACTTTTGTAATGTGTTGACAAACAAGGAGTATCTACACACCTCTAACCTCTCACGAGTTTCGCGTATATGGTTTATATTCTACATTATCATCATTTGTTGGAGCTGTTATTAACTTTTTGCATTTCTTTTGTATTTCCATAATTGTTGGAGGAGGGATCGAATTAGGAATTTTTAAGAATAAATTTGAAATCTGTTGTTTGTCTTTTGTGTGTTGTTACTTCAGGTTGTTGAATCATATAACAGAATCTTTGTTCTATGTAAAAGTATCTTATTCACCAAGTACAGATTTATACATTGTACTTCGTACTATGATTTTCGATTTGACCACGCTAGCCATACTACTAGTCATGGGCTACCTAAGGCCGATGTACATACATACCAGGTTCTATGTTAAGACTTACTGACTGCCTGTAACATCGTTTTATTATCATTATGTGTCCACTCTAAATGGTTATTATCTTTATTAATTGTATAATTTCAGTTGTACATTGACCTATTGAAATTGATGACACCAAATCGTGCAGCTATATTCTTTCTGTCATCAACGTTTGCATCTTCAGTGAAAGATGATGAGTCAAGATTAGAACATGAACCATGGTTTAATGTTGCTTATCAAAAAGAAGGTATGTTAATTAGTATATCTTTACATGATCATTGTTCTTTGTTAATACTGATGATGGTGATGATGATGATGACGATAATTCCTTTTGCTGTCCATTTTTATCGTGTTAGGTTAATGGTAACATAAAACTTGATGTTTAGAAGTACGGGACAGTTGTAGGTTACTAATATTTAATTATAGATGTTTTTAAAGTATATTGCTCTTGTATGTTGGAACCGGCAAGTCAGCAATGTTGAGATGTAGATATAGAGTACTAGTAAGTGGTGGTTGATCGTTTTGTGTAAGATTGTGGATACTTCATTCTTTGAGGGAACTGAAATATGTATTACTTATGTCCAACCACCACTTATTTGTAAGTATAAGGTTGTAATGATTGTTGATTTTCATTGAAATCGCGAACTGATGAATGTTAGACCATTATAGAAAACCTAGAAGCAACGGACGACCGCTTTGTCCTAGCATGGAATTCTTCTGCAGTACGCATCCACGCCTTTGCACACAGGAACAGAACCTAGGATCTTCGTTCTCGCACGCGAACGCCTAATCTATGGACTATTGAGCTGACCGGCGTCTAACCGTGTTAATATCTAACTTCAATTAATCCACGATATTACGTGACCATCTTCCGTTGTCTTCGGTCAGTAACTACCACACTCGATTGTGTACTTTCATGTATGATGTTGTTCGACTTGGGAATAGACCACAAAATAACTGAGTTCAGAACAAAACGTGGTATCAGTCCGCAAATTAATTGACCGGTTTTTCTGACCCATGTTGTTGGGTGTAAACTTCTTGCTTGGTTGCGATCTTACTTATTTACGCCTGTTACTCCTAATGGAGCATAGGCCGCCGACCAGTATTCTCCAACCCACTCTCCTCTGGGCCTTCTTTTCTAGTTCTATCCAATTCTCGTTCATTTTTCTCATGTCTATCTCCATTTCTTGGCGTAATGTTTTCTTTGGTCTTTCTCTCCTTTCACCTTGAAGGTTCCAAGTAAGAGCTTGCCTTGTGACGCATTTGGGTGCTTTCCTCAATGTGTGTCCTATTCACTTCCAGCGCTTCTTCCTGATTTCTTCCTCCGCTGAAATCTGGTTTGTTCTTTCCCACAGTACGTTGTTGCTAATAGTGTCGGGCCAACGGATCCGAAGTATTTTGTGTAGACAACTGTTAATAAACACCTGTATATTCTGGATGATGGCTTTCGTAGTTCTCCAGGTTTCCGCCTCATAAAGTAGAACTGTCTTGACATTTGTATTGAAAATTCTGACCTTGGTGTTGGTTGACAGTTGCTTTGAGTTCCAGATGTTCTTCGGTTGTAAATATGCTGCTCTTGCTTTGTCGATCCGCGATTTCACATCTACATCAAACCCACCATGTTCATCAATGATGCTGCCCAAATATGTAAAGGTTTTTACATCTTCCAAATCTTCTCCGTCAATTGTGATTGGATTAGTGCATGTTGTGTTGTATCGGAGAATCTTGCTTTTCCCTTTGTGTATATTGAGACCTACTGCTGCTGAGGCTGCTGCTACATTGGTCGTCTTCTCCTGCATTTGTTGTTGCGTTTGCGATAGAAGAGCCAGTTCATCTGCGAAGTCTATATCGTCCAGCTGCATCCTAGATGTCCACTGTATCCCGTGCTTCCCTTCAGATGTTGACATCTTCATGATCCAGTCGATCATCAGGAGAAAGAGACAGGGTGAGAGTAAGCACCCTTGCATGACACCGGTCTTTACTTCGAACGAGTTTGTCAGCTGTCCTCCATGTACGATTTTGCAGCTTAATCCATCATAGGAATTCTGTATGATATTGACTATCTTCTGAGGCACGCCGTAGTGTCGAAGAAGTTTCCATAGTGTTGTTCTGTCCACGCTATCAAATGCTTTTTCGTAGTCAATGAAGTTGATGTAGAGTGATGAATTCCATCCAATTGATTGTTCCACAATGATTCGTAGAGTTGCAATTTGATCTGTACACGATCTATCCTTACAGAACCCTGCCTGTTGGTCACGAAGTTGGGTGTCTACGCAGTCCTTCATCCTGTTTAACAATACCCTGTTGAAGGATTTTCCCGATATTGAGAGAAGAGTGAAGCCCCTATAGTTATTACACTTGCTGAGATCGCCTTTCTTAGGTATTTTAACCAGAAGTCCTTCTTTCCAATCTGTTGGTACTTGTTCCTCATCCCAAATATTATTGAAGAGAATGTGGAGTATCCTTGCAGTTACTGCTACGTCTGCTTTCAGTGCCTCTGCTGGAATGTTGTCTGTTCCTGCTGCTTTGTCACTCTTGTTTTGTTTGATGGCCATGCTGATTTCTTCAATTGTTGGTGGGCCAACATCGATTGGGAGGTCCGTGGGTGCTGCCTCGATGTTGAGTGGGTTCAGTGGGGCTGGTCGATTCAAGAGTTCTTTGAAGTGTACTTTCCACCTGTTTCGTTGTTCTTCAATGTTGTTGATTACCTCGCCTTACTTGCTTTTCACTGGTCGTTCTGGTTTGCGGCGATTTCCAGAGAGTTTCTTTGTCGTGTCATACAGTTGTCTCATATTTCCTTCTCTTGCAGCCTTTTCCGCCGTCGTTGCTAAATCTTTCACATATTTACGTTTGTCGGTTCTGATGCTCCTCTTCACTTGTTTGTTTACTTCTGTGTATTCAGCTTGCGCCTTGGCTTTCTCTTCTCTTGTTCGACTGATATTGATTGCTTCCTTCTTGTTCCTCCTTTCTTGAATCTTATACAGTGTATCAACAGTGATCCATTCCTTGTGATGGTGCTTCTTGTGACCCAGGACCTCATGACATGTTGAAGTGATTGCATCTTTTATCCCTTTTCAGTTGTTCTCCATAGAAGTTCCCACTCCATTGAGTAGATCATGAAAGGTCTGGAACTTGTCGCTGTAGGCTATCTTGAATTTGTTGAGTTTGTCAGTATCCCGAAGAACGGCCGTATTGAACTTTTGTGATATTGTCGGCCCCGTTTTCGTTCCTTTCTCCTAGTTCATGTCGTCCCATGATGTCTTCATATCCGGTGTTATCCATTCCAACCTTGGCATTTAAATCTTCTATCAGATTGGTCAGGTCATTTGTTGGGTACTTCTCGATGATTGACTGCAGCCTATTGTAGAATTGATCTTTAGCGTCTACATTGTAGTCGTTGGTAGAGGCATAGCATTGGATGACGCTCATTGAAATGCCCTCTTTCTTTGTTTTGAAGGAGGCTTTGATGATCCTTGGTCCATAAGATTCCTATCCCATAAGTGCATTTTGTACTTGTTTTGACAGCGTCAATGCGACTCCTTGTGTATGTGGGGCATTTTCTTCTTTATGGCTGGAGTATAACAGAAGCTCCCCTGAAGTTAGTCGTTGTTGTCCAACTTTCGTCCAATGTGTTTCACTGATCCCAAGCACCTCTAGGTTGTAATATATTAGCTGATAAAAACCATTATCGTAAAGTTAGAATTTGTTGTAAACATTTACAGATTAAGATAAATGACAGCTAATCCCTGTTTGGATGTATATTTTGTAAACATATTTCCCTCCGAATGCTTATTCAATTGGGAGTCCTTGAGGAAGTCCCAGAAATCTGTCATCAAAGTATCTAGAACGCTGTTAAACCTTATATCTGTATCAGTGTCGAATAGAAGCTTCGGAGAAACATCTAAGACTTCCAGAATAACCTATCACTGTTTTAGTTGGATATTCACCCGTACTACTACTATGTGCAGTATAGTTTCAGAAGCCAAAGATCATGTATAACTCTAAATGGCCTCATTTTTTCTGTACAAAATCCAACCTTGAAATAAAGCTTTTTACTCGCGATTTGTGCCTTCTCTTGTTTGTTCCAGTTGACGTGTCGTGTCGAAGTAGTCTATGGGCTATAAGAACCGTCTAGGAAGATAGTTTAGGCGTATCGGTAGCAAGACATATTAGAATTTCTATTGCATTGTTGAAGTTTCGTCACTATAATTGAACATATAATGTTCACTTTGATTATTTCTTTACATTAATACTATTGAATACTATTTGTTCTTTTAAAAATAGATATACCCGAACATATTATGAACGGATGGATCCATTCAAAACCAGACGACGAAAAATTACATCTGCCATATGAAAATAAATTTTTGAGTACGTTTTTGATTGCTTAAAAAATAGTATAGTGCTTGTATATATTTTTAGTATATGGGTTGAGCAACACAATCCACCAAGTGCATTTCATCCTATTTGGTATTCATCAGCTGAGAATGTATCTGTGATAATTCACTGTCGTTGATACTTGGATGCAATCACTTTCGCTACAAACGGGGAAGGTGACATTTCTGTCGGTTGCTTTTTTATTATAAACCGGACACCACGTAAAGAAATATTGTTTCGAGTTGCTAAGTATCGGACAGGCGTATGTCGTCTTTGTTTTCTGGGGAATTTTTTTAGAAGTGTTCACTTTATAGCCTCAATGTTCTTGATTCGATTAAATAAAGTTGTTTGTGACTGTGAGTGTCTGTTATTGATTAGTCGTTAACTAATTCAGTTAATGCAGAACTTGACACCGTCGGATACCGGTTTAGTGGTCTAGAGGTCAAGCATTCGCGTACAAGATCGTGGATGCGCACTTCTGAGGAGTTCCATACTAAGACGACACGGGCGTCCAGTGCTTCCAGATTTCCAATGGTGGTATAGCTTAGATTGACTGGTTAATTCAACTGTTAAAATACTACAATCTCCACACATCCCTTCCCCCCGTGTACATCGATTCAAGTTGTCACACTGAATCAACACAGCTATATAAAATTATCAAGACAAATGTCAGGCTAGTAGAAGTAGTAACATAGTATCAATTGTATTAGAAATCATTAAGCATAAACAGTATGATTCAAGAAGAAAGAATAAAACGTACAAAATAATTTTCAAAGCTTAACATTCAAAAGATGACAATCAATCAGAATATATTTGCCATCTATACAACCGATTCTAAGCCATATCATTCAATATTCTTTCCAGTCATTGGTTACGATAATCACGCCAGATTACAACACCAAACTATGTGGTTGTTTTAATCTACAAACATGATATAAATTGCCAGTCAACGAATGATTTTATAAACTGATGATATCACATTTTAATTATGGGTCACTTATAATATGATCTAATATTTTAATATTTATCTCTTTGTTGTATTCTGTGTAGTTCTTGTTAAAAGTTTTCTTTAAAAGATAAAAATTTCATTGTTTGCCTTAGTATACCTTGAGTTCATATTTAATTTTCTTCCACTGTAGCGACGGATTTTAGTTTATTGGATTCAAAAACTGATATGAAGGTTAGTGTTCGTTTTTTGTTTTCTTTGTTTGAAAAAATTCCCTTTTTTTTCTATCTTCCATATATTGAATTGTAATTTCAGTATATGATAGTATGTAATTGCACTTCAAACACCAACACATTATCCACTTAGCTACTCAGCCCTAATGGCCGCTCGCTTGTGCAATGGGTTCGAGTCCCTGAGTGAACATCAACTTTGGAATGCAGGTACGTCGAGCTGATGAGTTCTAAATATGATGAAACACGCGTCCTTGGTCCCACTGCTAATCATATTCCATCACTTCTATGTGAAATTTCGTCATAGTGCTTATATATGCCAACTAGGACTCATCAGATTGCAGTTAAAATGTCAACAACGGGATAATTCAAACCATTAAAAATTAAATTATTAATTAGTTTTGTTAGTGACGTCTTTTAATTTCATTTTATGGCTTGTTAACAATGACCTGCGAAACACCCCGTATCTGCCGAATTCGTTGAGTTTTTGATGAATGTTTTTACTTCCTGTGAGTCATTAGTGCTGGTCGAATTCTATCGTTCAAAAATGCTGCTCAACTATGCAGGGGTTATGTTCTAGTCTTTGACACCACTGGGTGAATAATTTGAGTTCGAATTCATCTCAGAGAGATAGAGAAAGATAGCATCAATTCCCTAAAGATTATAGGCACACCTTCCCCTATGAGTACTAACTGGAACATAACCATTGTTCAAGGTATCCTACCGACTACTTCCAAACACCTAACGTCATATCATTTCTTATTTACGTGTTTACTCTTTCGCACTTACGTATATCACATTTGACACATGGATCGTAAACATTCTTCCAACCAGTTGTATTATCTTTTAGCATCAAATAGTCTGGGGAGTGTTGGGACGAAAGAGGAGACATACATCATACATCATATATATATATATATATATATATATATAACAAATAATCAAACCTAAGAAATATGTATAGTTTGTTTAAATATGGAATAAATAAAATCGAGGTTATTTTGTTGTTTCCGCCTGTTTTTCTTTTGTTGCGAAAACTATCAGAATATACGTAATGTCAAGTTGTTGTTTTCTTGTTTTATGTACTGTGAGTTGAGTAAGTTAAATTATGAAGCTGGTTCTGGACAATAATCTCGTCATCAACGCCTACTTTATGTATGGGTCAACTGTTTAGTCAATTCGCAATCATTAAACTGATCTGTTCTGATGACTTTGTGAATGAATGGCTGTTTGTGGAGGTTTTCCGGCTTTATTTGTTTTCGTATCTTTGTTGAGAAAATTGTTTTTTTGACGTTTGACTACGTGATTGATTGGTAAATAGAGTCTATTTCATTATACATATTGATTGTATACTGGTCTGAATAAAGTGCTTCTCGAAATTCGCTGATATTCTTTGAATTTCCTAAGTTCGGAGTTTTCCCATTTTCATAATAAAATTCGAATATGTAGTATGGATTTATGTAAGTGGTATCAATTCATACGGTTTTCTTTTGTTAGACTTTTTTGTGTATTAGTGGATAGACCGGAGATCCACTTTGTTCAATGACCTAACAACAAAGGAAGACAAACGCAATATCATCCATAGAATACATTGCACCGTCTGCAACAAAAATTACACCGTATAAAAGTGGACACCCTTTCATTGGGAAAATTCTTTAGTTTCTCAGTTACCAGGTATAGATTCATATACTTGGCTGCAAACTACATTTCAAGTGTAACGGCTAGTGTTAATATACGGTTGCCCGAGCTGGAGCGGGGTTCGAACCCTGGATTTAGTGACTAAAAATCGAATGCCTTATCCACTGAAAAACCATCCTATTAGGAAAAATATCAAAATCACACATGTGTATATATTAGATTAAGAAAGAAGGTTAACGTGATTATGGTGTTATAATAAAATTATGAAGTGGTTCTCAATAGTCCCTTTAGATAGTACTGCATAATATTGGCATTTTTCTTCTTTCTGTATGTTAACTGTTTATATATATATTCAGCAACCTGTGGATTTAAACTTGGAACCTGGTGCAGAATCACGTCTAAAATATGGTCATTTATGGTTTCAACAAAGTACTCGTTTCAAATGTCCTAAAGGTAATTTTTGTATTAGTTTGATATGAATAGTGTACACAGAAAATAGTATTTTTCATCATCTTGTTAATTCAAACTCTCTAAAATAGATATTACTAAAATTTCGCTTTTTTACGTAATGGGTTTATGTTCTTAAATTCCGATATAATTATGTTGGATACCTGATTACTTGACATTGAATTTTAACCACTTTCTAGTGCCTTAGAAATCTACACTTAAATATCTAAAGGTAAGTAAAAGTCGAAATTATGAAAATAAGCTTTACTTCCAAGGTTAGTTTAAGTATAAAAAGAATGGATATTCATTGGTTTATAGGCTCTGATCTGGATATTCTGAAAGCTTCTAAAACGATGCCAAAATTCTTTAAAGAAATCGGTAATTATCTAGTCAGGATGTGATATATAATCACTTTATAGAAAGTTTCCATCGAACGGTGATTAGACAAAGGGTTTTCAGTCCTTATTACATTTCTGAAAAATGTGAAGAATTCTCAAACACTTTCGAGAGATAGTTTTCATGATGAAGCTTCTATTGCCTTTCGTTTCATACACTATATACTGATGATTTTATACAAAATAAGAAAACTAAAAACATTTTATTGAATAAAAAACGCAACCTTTTCTTTAAAATATCGTTACTGATTTAAGCTAAAAATACTTTTCATTATAATCTTTGTTGAATTTCTGATGGAGATTCAATTACGTTTAACCCCCAAACAAATTCATCTTGAAACTGTTGATATCAGAGCTATTAAATACGGCTATCATATGGCATTACATATTCGAAATATTTCCTACTGAGAAACTGTTTGACAGCCTGACAATATCGTTATTCTTTGATCACTGACAGTAATAGTGTGGTGTATGCTACTTATGTTGACAGGTATTAGTAGTATGTAACGTCAATCTGAAGTAGAATGCATTTCAGCAGAAGATTGAGAAGATCGAAGTAAAGAGAACAGAAATGTAGACGGAATGTAATTTTAATAGCAACCGGAACTAAGAAACGATGAAGTTTGTGAGAGACAAGAACCGCTACAGCCAACGCCACCCTGCCAAAACACTTTATTCGACATCACCAGACGGCATTAAACAGTGCTTCCTCTCCCGGCCCTCGCGACGGCGTCCTCAAAACTCCCACTCCCTGCCTCTTGGTTGGCAGCGACACTAAATGTTGTGAACAATAACACAAGTGGGGGAGAACCGATTGTATTTCGACATAAAATTACGGAGTTCTTTGGTAAAATGTGCAAACCATACGTTTAATTCTTCATTTGCAAATCCTCCGTCAACTCTCTCAAAGTCTATCTAAAAATTTCACTTAATTAATGTCAAGTTGAAAATCATTTCATCCTTGACATATGAATCGGTTAGGGGAAATATGATCTTATCAAAAATCAGATTATTTCGTTTGAATCTCAGTTTTGGTGTATCATCGTTTTGCATGTATGTTGTTGTGCTTTGATAACATCATCTATATAGTTTTATTGTTCAGTCATTAGTTTCCAGTGTCAGTTACCAAGTGTATGCAATATTTATGAAATTCTTTCTTTATATGTGGTTTGTTATTCTGACATGAATACCATTTCTTAGTGGTTATGTCTCTGATTGTGATGCTTAATGTGAAGCGAACTTGAGTATCCTAACAGACCGAGGATTGGGTCCCATAATGCTGTAACCAGTCAAGGTCCAACGCGAATGTTTATCAGTATAAACTGTTGTATTTCACATCAATACAACATATCATCTGACTATATATGGGTCAACAGATATTTTGAGCCTCGTCAACTGATTCACTTTTTCTCCCATGTTATACCATATACCCTGGGTAATATTAGCTGTCTTTATTTCCACCGTATATGCATATACAGTGAAATACTGCACAGCCCACGTTTATATTTAACCTTCAGTCATATTTTCCACTGGTTTTGAAACATAATTCTTCGTCGAGACTTTTGATCTATTTAATCTAAGCGAGTCATTATCATCATTATATCGTCACACTTCATCCGTGGAGTTAAATCATCACTAAAGGTTGGACAAAATAATATGATTAGCCGTGATTTATTGACGTATTAGATTATATGCTGTTGCTAGACCTCCACTTGTTATTAAAAATGGAATCTAGGATGACAAGTGTTTCTTCCTACTTTGGATTTGTTAGTTTGATGTACCTGGGCATTACAGTCCTACTATTTGTCTTTACCAATAATGATTTATTATTGTGCCCTTCATTGAGTCATGAACTGATCTAAGTTAGACCACCATTAAAAACCTAGAAACAATGGAAGGCCTCTCCGTCCTAATATGAGACACGTTAGCGACAGACATCTGCACACGGGAATCGAACCCAGGGCCCTCATGATCGCGCGTGGCCACTTAAATTCTTGACCACTGAGCTGGAAGCTGATGATGTTAATGTCTAATTTTAGTCGATCGACGATATTGCGCTATCATTTTCTGATATCTTTGATGGATAACTGTCTCACAACCGATAGAGTTTAGCTCCACCGGTCATGACTTCTCAGTAGGATTCCGGAAACCTCTCAAAGCGGGTTCATTTCTCACAGGTAGGGTCTTGGGTGCCCACTGCTGAGGAGTTCCATACTAAGATGAAATGGCGATTTAGTGCTTCCGGGTTTTAAATGCGTGGTTTAACATTGACCATTTGTTCGTGGTTTTAATGAAATTCAGTAGTTTCAACAACCTCATACTGATAATTAATGTGTTTATTTATTTATTTTCTTTTCACAGCTTCTGTAATGATCCATCTTTGGTCGGATATTGTGTCTAAAACAAAAGAAACGTAAGTCATGTAACACGAAAATAATTTTTTACTATATATACATACATGTATATAGTTAAGAAGATTTGTAGCGTGAGGGATGATGATTTGGCTATTGAACTTTCATTTTCCTTCTGAACAACATCACTGTCATTGTCAGAGCATTCTTCATGTAGAATTAAGCTTCTCAATTATTCCACAAGCGTTAGATCAGTTTGATTTTGGTGGCATTATTTGTAAGTGATTGTCTTGGTAGATTTTATTGTTTTGTATTGTTCTTGTATTCATACTGACTACCTAGTTCAGTTGATCTTTCATCATGTTGTTCATTCACTACTTTCAGTTAGTTTCATAGATCGAATTTAATTCGATGTGTCTACTGGTTGTTACTGATTGTTATAACCACCATGAGTATATTTTTTTATAGAAATTTTCCGTTTATTTCCTCTCTCTAGAATTTCGATAATTTCCCAGTTAAATTCATGGATTGATATCATTGATAGGATATATCGTGTCGTTTTACTAATTATTTTTATTCTTACATGCCTAAGTGAAAAGAACGTCCACTTTGTCCAATATAGTGTTTATTACAGTCTATTTTATGATTGATATCAGTCAGTCAGTCAGCTACAACATAGGACCAGGTACATATATGTATGGAGCGGTCTAACTTTCCATACTTCACAAGATGAACACTAAATTCATAGAAGCAGTTACTTCAATCGTAGTGATATATGAAAAAAAATGATTGCATATACGAATATAATACAGGGAGAAATAATAAGTTCGTAGAAAGAAAGGTACAAAGTAGTTTGTTTGGCCGCCCCTAACTTTCCTCCAACCGTTTCCAACACTAGTCTGCATTGCGCGTCGTGGTAATCAATCAATGTTCAGGAATATGTAGAACGTAGCCCAACCATCTCAGTCGATGAAGATTCGCATTTATCTTCTTTCTTTAGTTACATGAATCTTGGTTGACATAGAATCAAAATCCAACGTTTATTCTCAATTACTTTCAGCACTCGGATTGGTTCAGAAATTTTTGTGCAGATTGGTCTAATTGTTGAGTTATTTTCGTGATTGACTGATCCCGCGGCGGGAATCGAAGGTCCTAAGCTTGACTTATTGTATGATCGTGCGTATGCATCGTTGGGGGGTTCTTTAGTAAGAATAACCAGGTTTCTTTTACCCCCTGGTTATAAATCGCTCCACGGTTGCCATCACTATGCAAAGAATACTATCTACTTATCAGATTATTTTCAGTACAGTATATTTACTATTTTTTGTGAAATGATAATTTATCATAATCTGTAGGTTATTATTTTGAACATACACCAGATGATTTGTTTCGAAGCCACACCTCATTTTGACTTGAAATACTGGAAATCCAATAAGAATTTTCAATTGAGTGCTGTTGAATTAACAGTAAATCCTATTCATTCTCTCTTTTTTCTATTAGGAACTTACCGGAATTTCAGTCTATCTATAGTCTCATAGGTTAAGTACTTCACATATGACATTAAATAATTCATCAAAGCGTACGTACCAGCCAAATTTGAGAGTTCATTCTAATTCACGTCCACAAATACTCACTATCCAGTCAATATGCAATGAACAAATTTCGCTCAATCATGTAGAACAACATTTTCTTTTTACATAAAAGAATGTCTGATCTACACAATTTTGTTTGTTAAAGGTTGATTTCGTTGATCTGTCTTTTTTCCAGTGAATTCTGGATTCAATCAAAGCAGGGACATTTGACGTAGTCGTATAATACGTGAATTCATTTCTATTTCGAGGTTTCTCATCAGCTGCTTACAACCTCTAAACAAAATACCACTCTTCATTCCAAAAAGTCAGTGTACATAAATTACATGTCATATTATCGGAAGCGATCTCATCAGTGGAGATAAATGGAAAAAGAGCAATAAGTATGGAAGAATTATAATAGATGTTAAACAATTTGAATATTTAGGCGAGACTATAATTTGTGTATGAACCGATTAGATTTAAGTTAATGAGTCTTTGATTTTGGTGCAAAATTCTTTCATCCATATGGGCGAAAAGCATTTTGTCACAATAGCTGATGTCAGTTGGTGTTGAAAACTCTTACTCTAATTCCTATCTTTAACTTCTAACTCGAACTCCCCATCTTAATTTCTCTTTAACCCTCGTTTGGTTCTAAGTAAGTAGGTGAATTTTCTGACTTCCACTTTAGCTCTGCTCAAGAGTGTTCCATGAATTATAGTCTTACCAATTACAGTTCACTATGTCAAAGGAAGATTGATAACTGAATCTTTTTAGATGCACAAATTTGGCCTAAATCTTGATTACGGCAATTGCTCCAGCGAAACATAGTAAATTTGAAGTTTCTTGTTGATTGATAATCTTGAAGGAATTTGAAATATGAACACCATGCAGGCTGTAAACCAGATAGGGTGCAACCGCACTCATGAAAACGTGTTGTCCTCTGAGTCGGAGCTTACGTAGAATGTCCTGAGAGATGCTGACACTTACCCTTCATTCTATCCGTCCAAAATATTTGCTTTGGCACGTTCATGTAAACTGGTATACATAAATGAAGGTGATCTTTACATACTTATTGCCCTCTTTTCATTAATGTTGATAGACGGGAACTTTTCCGATATTTTGATATGTAAAGTATATACATTTATTTTGAATGATGAATACTATTTTAATTAGAGGTTATAAAGAGCTGATGAGAAACATTGAAATCTAAATGAATTCACATGTTGGTTGATCGATCCTGAAGATAAATATTGAAATTCTGTAGTAGTGATACTGAGAAATCGTCTTGTAAATCATTTAACCAGGTTTCTTAAGTTGTGATTACACCACAATTACGATACGTGTTTAAACTTTGTAGGAATTGAGTATACCCCACCTTGTCAATTAGTGATTACCAGTTAGATGTAAGCAATTCAAGAATCAACATCTTAATAATGTTCATTTTTTCAATTCACATTGCCAGTCACAACGATGTCTCTGATTATATTTCTTTGTAACTTGTTCAGCGAAAGGTCATAAACATTTTTTAAGCGCAGCTGATTAAGTTCTGCCATTAATAAACATAATAATGTGTTAAAACAAATAATAAACAGATAACTCGTTGAAATATCTAGATAACAGGAACAGGTAGCCCATATGTTCAAGAAGGCCTTTGGAAAAGCATGAGTTGAGACACATGTTTACTTGATTTTCCCTGTAGCGCATTTGTGTGAATTGTTTTTTTTTAATAGTTAATATCACTCATCAATCCTAATTTAAAGAATCATTGAAAACCGGAAGGTGTTGACGCATCAGTAGTCTCCTATCAGGAAAATAAAATTCCTGGTCCCATGATATTAACTATAAAATTCTTTACTTTTTATTAAAACAATTTATATGTTTGTATATCCCATTTTTCCATCTCTCTTTATACATATATTCGTTTTTTCCTTAAATTTTTACAGCATGGCATTGCATACATTGATGGTCTATGGTTTAAATCAGTCATTGAGTACAATCACCTATGAAGCTGGTGAAGCAGATCTAGTGTAAGTTGTTATTCGTTGTGTTTTTTCGTTTGTTTAGAAAAGTTTAATGATGGTGATTTCATCCATCAATTCACTCAAGTTTATTGTATTCCCTGTATTTAAACCATACTATTTTTCTGTATAAGTGGTTTCACGATACTATTATTACTATTAGTATTGGCTCTACTCAATTTTATATTTTGGGTACAATATAGAATTCTCAGCATAAAGTATTTCAACAAGTTTCCTTTTCTCATTTCATGATCGATCCTTAAGATAAATGTTCAGTAGTCGCCAGTTAAGTGTTAGCAGTTCGGGAGTCGACATTTGAATAATGTACATTGTTTTCGATGCATATTGTCAGCAACCACGATGTCTCTGATTGGGTTCTTTTGTAACTTGTACAGCGAACTGTCATAAAATGTTCACAAACGCTTCTGAATAAGTTATACGACCAATAGGCACAATGATTTGTTAAAACGAGCATGAAAACAGATAACTTATTGAAATATCCTGATGGTAGGAACAGGTAACCCAGATATTCGAACGGTTAAACTGAATTAGGTAGGATATGTTTCAAACTTGTTGCCTATTACTATTAGTAAATGTTGAAATTATCCTGTTGTTAATAAATTCAGAATTGATTTATGTTTAATATTTTTCACATTTTTGAATTATATACAGATTATCTAGATATGGTCATTTTGTCTGATAGAATAGATGGTTTAAGATTGACTATGAAATGCAGAATGCATGTTCTGTCCCATATGGGGCTCATCAGATCAATCTATTTTCACTAAGGTTCACTCTGAAACGGGAACCCAGTACTTTTTGCTTCGAACCCCAGTGCATTATCCACTAAACTACTGAATGCGGATAGCCCATAGCTTTTCGTTTTTTTTTCATACACACTACTGTTAGACGGTTGTCAATAATCGGCAAGAAAGCCTATTTCATTTAGCTGCCATATAAGTTGTCATCGGTCGTCGACAAGTCGTATTTAGGGTTCTTCATCAAATATATGCTTTCTTACACGTTCTACCGTTAGTCTAAATCGAACTCATGTCACAGTTTTTATTGTTAACATTGAACTATTCCAGCTGACATTATTCATGAATAAATGTAGATGCTTTTTTGAAATACTGCATATTATCTCATTGTTTTAAATGTATGTATATATGTATGAGAGAAGCAATATATTTTCTTTTCTATGTTTCGTAGACAAGATGTAGCGTTTCGTGATAATGGCTTGCGTATTTGTGTTAGCGGTTTTAGTGAAAAATTGTTTGTAAGTTTTATTACTATTTTCATTGTTTGGTTGAAAATGTTTCTTTTGTTACAAATCGATTTATTTTTCATCACAGATTGATCTCGGTTGAGGTACATTTAGAAACTAGGAATCGTTGGACAACAATCCTTCACCTCAAAACTTGAAGGTTCCAATTGACACCTCTAGATGAATCATGAGTACACAGTGATGTGATGTGTTTTTTGTGATACATTCAATGTTCAATTTATTTGAAACTACCAAGTCCAACCTTGGCATTGATACCTACTTATTTAGAATGATATCCCAACCGAGATCTGTATTTTGATGGAATAATGAGAGTAATGTTGTTCTTTTGTAAACATCTACCATTATCTATATTTTTACTTCATAAATTACATCAGCTTTGTACTATATGTAATCAGTAAATTGATTTCATTGTGTATTTTTAATAAAAAGCCTTAATAATATGTCTTATCGACAAAATGGATTAATATAAATGCATGCTTGCATATTCCTGAATGACAACAGAAAATGTTTGGATGAATTCATAGTCTAATCGTTAGATCTAACATTCAGTTTCCCCGACTGTAGCTGCCAGCTTGACCTTGTGATTGCACTTGTATATATTTGATGACTCAATCTACCATACCAGGGAGGTGGGTTTGAAAAGCGTTAAGACAAAAACCAACACACTCGTACTCTGAAGGTGAAGTTATACGGTCCAACTGGAATGTGTCAACTAACCTCGAACCTCTAACGATACTTTAGGTCACCTGACTCATAGTTACTTTCACATATACCCGATATATACTATAATTGTTCATAAAGCTATACATCATAGACGGTGGTTACCACTGTTATAACTTGTGATCTGTGTGCTCCGTTAATTTATAACGTAACGATACCGCCAATTTTAGAGCAGTGACTTATCGATCAGATCAATGACGCGTAAACCCATACGAGCAGTCTCGAGCCCTTATTGATCTCGCTTCCTATCAAGCCCAGCCAGTTAAGACCAGAACATCAATCCGAGCCCCTGCAATATGAATCATGTGTTTCAAAAATACTCGGTTTATATACCAATCAAACAGACCATAAAATAAAACAATAACATTTGTACAAAATCTGGTCAAATGTGGCTGTGAATGTGGGAGGCAGTGACTAATAGACAGGGCATAATTCAAGAATGGTAAAACGTATAATAATGGTTCGTAGTTCAAAATAAAGCTTATAGTAGGAGGAATATGAATATGAATATTTTAGTTATTTAACAATTATACGAATATACGTTTAGTATTAGTTATCATTTATTATGCTTATCGGGACCTAACAACCACATACAACACTTTATCATCAGTTTAATGTTTGATTTCCAACTATCTCGTGGTTTATTCATTCTTCATACCAACAAATTTGCATTTGGTTTCTTCTATTTGCCTTTAAATTATTTAAGTTATAAGCAACTATTATAAAACAGGTTATTTGCTTATTGTTTTGGGCTGAATTGGAATGTGCTCAGTGTTCAATTATCCTTTTCTCTGTTTATTTATTTATTTGTTTTTTGTTCTCAAAATACTTTTAAAAATAGTGTTTTTATTCAACTATACTTGATCATATATTGGATCAAACACAAGATTTATCTAAAGAATATTTCGAATCATATCGTGATGCTGTACTTCAAATTTATTATAATGAAGCACTTAAACCAAATGTACTCAATACGTAAGTAAAATAGTGTAACAAACCAATGAACACTATTTTTTTCAAACGGTTTCGATGTTATGGTGAATGATGATAATGATGTTTGAGATCAATCGACAGTCAAGTTAATTACCGTACGATTACTACCTATAACGTCATGTAATGTATTGAGTGATTTATACTGGTGATCATATTTCTAATTGATTCACCCTTCTCACTTCGTATGATTAAAAGTGGAAATCTTTCCAGAAAGTAAGGTGGAGGTGATAGTCCAGGCTAACCATATACTGTCTCACAGCACCATGGTCTGTGAGAAATGCGATTGGAAATGGGTTATTGATTGAGGTTGTGAATACTATTACGTTGATCCAAATTCTTTTTCTTTGTCATTCAAGAATATTTTGAGGGAGTACAATTCTGTCCGGGATAGAATAGTAGGTTGGAATAAGAAAGCTATGACGATTTAACTTAAAACCTGGTATCAGTCCATAAAATGGTTAATGGTTGATTTGAGCCATGTTGTTAGATGCAAACTTCCCGTGTTGAATCCTCCTTGATTATTGGTTAGATTAGATTTCCTATAAATCACCGGTTTATGTATCTGACTCTAGGCTTAAGGGTTAGTTCTACTCACCATGATACTCAGACCGTCATGGATTAAACGTAGGATTGAAATACAGACTTCTGCCTTTTTTCATACCAAGTATCCTATTAATAAGCTGACCTAATCCAAACATATTGTAAAACACGATAACAGGCAGGAAGAGTGTATATTATTGCGAAAAGTTATAAAGTACTCACGTAATACCTAAACATAGTCTTCAATCGTCCATTTGCATCTTCTGGTGTGCTCTTCAATCTGAACTATCTTCTCGACTGATCTCCGAGTGTTATGTCAACTCTGTGCTTTCGGCGCACTGAAACTCTCCATTCTTCACAATTGCTGTAACTTCGGCACCACTTTTCGCTACACACTACGTATAAACATCCTTATCATTAGCGTCCACTACAATAGCGTGCACTCCTATTTCCATGCTATCTAAAGACTAAGGTTTAGATGAGTGATGATAAACAAGATATGCTATTAACTTGTATATCTACGAGACAGATATATATCTATATGTATGCAAATGTGTAGTGTGTATTTCTGCGTTCGATTGCAAATTATACCTTATTATTCATTATTAGTCCTCTCACTTGCACAGTAGGTTAAACTCAATTATATTCAGTGTGTATGTCAGTATCTAAATGAGTTGAGCGCATAACACAACACTTAAACACCGTTGTGCTCATTGTGTATCCTACAAATTAATTCATTTACTGATCATTTATATATTTACTCTTTGGATAATTTCCTTTTGTCTGTTTCGTCTATTTACTTCACAGTCATCTTCAGTTTTATCTTCTTCGTAAAGAAGCTTATCTAATTACAGATTTATTGAGTGCACTGAAAAATTTGTCAGTAGCTGATGTCGCTGCGTATAAACAACAATTTTTGTCCACTTTACATATTACTATTTATGCTTATGGTAATATAACAAGACAGGTGAGTCTTCTTAAAACATGTGTGTATGCTTGAAAAGACCTTAAATTATCTCCTTCAGTTCATTTGGCAAATAATAGTTCTGATGTGTAAGGAAGTTTGAGGTTACGTTTTTCCAATCAGTTCATTGCAAATATATCTTAGTTCTACAAGGGGGTCAAGTCGAGGCGCAAATAATTCAGTATCTACATCTATGACTGTAAAGCTGGTTGACACTAGACTAAATTCACCAGGGAGCATCGGTTCCCCCAAGATTACAGGTTTATCTTGCTGATGAGTGTCAAATAGAATTGAATGTAGACGTTACTCGTCGGGTAGATATCTTATGTCAGGGTTTGTTTAGGAATACTTTGTGTTAGCTTCTAGTCAGGCTTATTGTAAGGTACAGTATGTTGTCGTCATTGTTTAATACATTAAAATACTTCTTAACATTAGGCAAATTTAAAGAAGTCAATGTGTAACTACACCATAGTCTCGACCTTGACCAACTTTTGAAATAATTTATAAGAATGAATGTCAGTTTTGGTCTAATTACGTGTCAATCTAGATAAGTCAAGAATATGTGCAGTACGTCGAGTTCGGTGTGGTTCATACATATTTGGTCATCAACTGGAACGATTTCGTTTTATCGCATTCGCGATGGCCGAATGGTTAAGGCGTTGGACTGGAAGTCCAATGGGGTTTCCCTGCGCAGGTTCGAATCCTGCTCGCGACGAGATTCTGATCTGACACAAAATTCAACCATCGCATACATCATACAACTATATGCCGAGCCCAACAGTCGGACTGCACGGATCTCAGTGTCACTATCGACTTATTACTGAAGACTGATCTTCAGATTCAGATTTGTGTAGTAAGGACAGAAGGCCTACGGCCTATGTTATTCCTTTTCTAGTATGCCTCTGTGAGTGTCCAGTCTTCTCTTGAAAGAGTCAATTGAAGGTGCGGATACCACTGCTTCAGGCAGCAGATTCCAAGTATTGATGACTCGGTGTGAAAACCTGTATACCAGGGGTATTTTGTTCGTTCTTGGCTTTTCTACTCGCCTGCTATGTCCTCTGAGGTGTCCCGATTTAGTGGGAAGAAAGTTAGGTCCGAAATCATTTCTCAGTATTCTGTACATCAATATTAGATCTCCCCTTAGTCTGCGATAGGACAGAGTAAAGAGGTTCAGTTTTTCAAGCCGCTCTTTATATGATAAACCCCGGAGTTCCGGAATTGCACGCGTAGCTGCCCTCTGTACCTTTTCTAGTATGTCTGAGTCACCTTTTAAACAGGGGCTTGCAGCCTGAACACAGTTTTCTAACTTAGTTCTCACTAAGGATGTGTATAATGTGGTGAACATGGTAGTATCAAGCTTAGTGAATGTCCTTTGTAAAGCCCAAAGGGTTCGAAACCCCTTAACTGCGACCTCCCGGCAATGGGCCGTCGTCTTAAGATCATTGCTCACTGTCACCCCTAGGTCCTTATGAGACCGGACTACGGGTAATGACACATCCCCTATGTTGTACGTATTAACCTTTGAATCCCCCAAGTGCATGTAGACACACTTTTCCGAGTTGATAGGCATTAGCCACTCTTTAGACCAGTTTATCATATTATTTAAGTCCGCCTGAAGAGTAAATGCGTCTGTGTCTCCAGTTATTACTCGCCAAATTTTTACATCGTCAGCGTATAATAACATTGGAGACTGTACTATACTTGTAAGATCATTAACGTACATTATAAAAAGTAAAGGACCTAGGACGGAATCTTGGGGTACTTCACTAAGTACTGGTCTCCAGATGGAGCACTTGGAATTTATTCTTACTTCTTGCCTACGACCTACTAGGAAATCCTTAATCCATTTTAAAAGAGGTCCGGCAATACCAAGGTTTGCCAACTTCAATAGCAGTCTATTAGTTGGCACCTTGTCAAAAGCCTTACTGAAGTCTATGTAGACAACATCCACTGAGTTTCCGTTGTCTAGCGCATTAATCCAGAGCTCCCTAGCTATAAGGAGGTTCGTTGTACAGGATAGACCCTTTCTAAAACCATGTTGTGCCATGTTCAGCAAGTTATTGGTTTCCATAAATGCTGTTATGATCCATTTGATTATCTTTTCCAGTATTTTAATTACAACACTGGTGAGGCTTACGGGTCTGTAATTTGATGGAACTTGTCGTAGACCAGTTTTATGTATGGGAGTGACGATTGCGTCCTTCCAGTCCATAGGTAACACACCTTGGTCAAGTGACATTTTGAATATCACAGTCAGTGGGGCTGCGATATATTGGGCAATATGTCTCAAGATTTTAGGGTGTAGTTCATCTGGTCCTGTTGACTTCTCCATGTTTAGGGTGCTAAGAGCCTTAAGCACATCGTTTTGGTCGAAGTCCACGGTGAGCAGCTGATTTGTTGACTCTGTAATTGGGTCTGGTTCTTCCTCTAGAGGAGGTTCCTGAGTGAAAACTGCCCCAAAGTAGTCAGCCATAACCTCAGCTTTTTCCTGATCTTCCTCTATCATTTCAGATTCACTTCCTACTTTAATTAGGTTGGGAATCCAGTGATGAGTCCTTGTTCTGTAGTTTATGTACGAGAATATCCTCTTGGGCTGCTTGAGTGCAGATTCTGCCAGCTACATTTCATATTTTTTTGCGCTTCCCGAATTTTAGTTATACACACGTTTCTTATCGATCTGTGATGTTCCATCGTACCTGTTGTGCCAAGGCGGATGGCAACATCCCAGGATTTCTTCTTTTGTCTTAGTAAGCGTCAAATATCCCGCCCTAACCAGGGATGTCCGTGCTTCTTTTTCTTTGGGACAGTCCAGGGTATATATGGTTGAGTTACCCGATTGTATAACTCAAGGTATAACCCAAGGTCCGAAGGCGAAGTCGTACTGCTGACTGTACAGAGGTGTGACAGCAGTAAGGTGTTTCCTTCAGACAACCAGCATGACAGCGATGCTGCCTTCCCACAAGGAGGGGTGGGGTTAGAAAAGGTCGACCCTAAAAATGCACACCTCGCCTTATCCCACGGATATCCGTCTCCGGCGGTAAGGTCTCAATAAGTACGGAGCTAACACAAAAATTACCCATAACAAGGTCGTGTGTGACCGACCTCAAGCAGTTGTCCCTTGGGCACTGCGGTCACGCTCTCAGGTCACTAAGATCACCTTTAATCCAAATTCCTTTTCAGGTACCCCCAGAACAACCCTTCCACGGTGTGGGCAACCGGGAAGTGAAAACCGCCCTCATACCTCTAACAGCACTCAAGACCACTGTATTCATAATCAACCTTCCTCTTCAATTCCTATTATTCCTCCTACATCGACTTTCACCTTTAAATTTCCTCTCTCGGATTCCACCTCAAGTGTCACCATAGCCAACGATTCTAGTGCGCAAAATACTGTCCCAGGTCTACTGAAACCTCGCTCCAAACTACACATTGGAGCCTTCAACGTACGAACCCTATGTCAAATCGGTCAGCAGGCTTCCTTGGCTAAAACCCTAGAGTCTCTTACCATTGACGTGTGCTGTGTCTCCGAAACACGCATACAGGATTCCAGTGTGGTCATTCACTTGACCTCACCTCGGCAAAACGGAGAGCCAACGAGGTACACCCTTCGTGTATCTGGTGACCCGATGGCAAGTTCTCGTGGACTGGCAGGTGTAGGCATAGCACTAAGCATGAGGGCCGAACAAGCACTGCTAGAGTGGATCCCCGTCAACAGTCGTCTATGTGCTGTTCGGCTGAACGGCTACGTAAGAACTCGGAAGGATAGGAACACACGTCGTTGCCTTTTTGTCGTTTCTGCCTACGCTCCCACTGACTGCAGCTCAGATGATGTGAAAGATGAATTTTACAGAAAGCTGTCCGAACTTCTTCAGAAAGCTAAACGCTCAGACATAGTACTCGTAGCAGGTGATTTTAATGCTCAGATAGGTAGTTTAAACCAAACAGAAAGGCATTTAGGTGGATATTTTAGTATTCCGACACAGCGAACAGATAATGGTGATCGTCTGCTGCAGCTATGCTCAGACAATCGTTTATTTTTAGCAAACACAAATTTTAAGCATAAGGAGAGACATCGTCTAACATGGCGACCCCCTACACCAAACCAACGATGGACTCAAATAGACCATATTGCCATCAGTCATCGTTGGAGAGGGTCGATAGAAGATTGTCGCTCATTCTGGAGTACCTGCTTGGACTCCGACCATGCCCTAATACGGGCACGCATCTGCTTGCGCCTCACTGGACGCAAAAAAGCCACATTAAAAAGACCCGTTAGAACTGAGTTAAGTAACGAGAAAACCAGAAGTAGGTTCCAGGAACAACTGAGGTCACACTTAGGTAGTTGTGAAGACGAGGCTGACCCAGATGTTGCTTGGAAGGGCATACAATCAGCTGTGGAAACAGCAGTGACATCTATTAGTGACTTAAACCACAGAGTTGTAAGGAACCAGTGGATTTCTTCAAGGTCTGTCACACTGATGGATTCTCGCAAACTCGTCCCATCAGGTTCTGAACATGATGAAGAGCGAAAACAAATCAGATCTAGGTTAAGAAAAAGTCTAAGAAACGACCGTGAGCAGTGGTGGGCATCGAAAGCAAAAGAGATGGAAAAGGCGGCGACTATAGGGAACACAAGACAGCTTTACAGACTAATAAAAGAAACTGGAATTAATAAGTCAAGTGTAAGTGAGATTATATCGGAAAAAGACGATACACTCATCTGCTCCAAGTCCAGGCGTTTAGAACGATGGGCGGAACACTTTAGGGAACAGTTCAGCTGGCCTTCAGCTACTCTACAACTACCCTCCATTCCCAGACAGTGTGAATGGAACATTGAAGTAGGTCCCCCGACTCTTGCTGAAGTTCAAAAGACTATAGTTAATCTGAAACGAGGAAGGGCAGCTGGTCCAGATGGATTGACTCCAGAGGTCTTTAAGGATGGTGGTCCAATTTTAGCGATTAAGTTGACTAATATTTTAGCTAAGATCTGGGAATTAGACTTTATCCCATCTGACTGGTCCCAATCACTTATCGTCCCAATATATAAGAAAGGGTCAAAATCATCCTGTGACAACCACAGAGGGATTAGTTTAACAAACATAGTATCTAAAATACTGGCCTCGATAATTATCAAACGCCTAACTAAGACTCGTGAACTACAAACTCGAGAGAACCAAGCTGGCTTTAGACCTGGTCGTGGCTGCATCGATCACATATTCACCATTCGCCAGGTTCTAGAACACAGGCATACCTATCGGCGTCCGACGATGGTGGTATTTCTCGACTTAAAAGCAGCATTTGACTCGGTAGACCGCGAGACTCTGTGGCAGTGTCTGTCATTGAAAGGCGTACCTCAGAAGTACATAAACCTTGTGAAGGCTCTTTACTCGAACACTACTAGTCGAGTCAGGGCTTATGGCGAACTGTCATCTACTTTTGCAACTTCAAGTGGTGTCCGTCAAGGCTGTCCACTTTCTCCATTTCTGTTTAACTTCATCATAGACCTATTGATGGGAATAACACTCTCGTCGACTGAATTCTCGGTTATTGATCTCCTTCCAGGATGTCCACTTATCGACTTAGAATACGCAAATGACATAGTCCTGTTTGGTGAAGACGCTGACAAAATGCAGAGTCTTCTGGCAGCACTAAGCAACAATGCCAGAACGTTTGGGATGCGCTTCTCTCCCTCTAAATGCAAGTTGTTGCTTCAGGATTGGTCTGCGTCAACACCTGAACTAAGGATAGGGAGTGAAGTAGTTGAACGCGTTGACAACTTCACTTATCTTGGAAGTCTGATCAGCCCTAATGGGTTGGTGTCTGACGAAATCTCAGCACGGATTCGAAAAGCTCGTTTGGCTTTTGCCAACTTACGTCATCTTTGGCGAAGGCGAGATATCCGTCTATCAATAAAAGGGCGAGTATACTGTGCGGCAGTTCGTTCTGTTTTACTTTACGGCTGCGAAACATGGCCCTTAAGAGTAGAAGACACCCGTAAGTTACTAGTATTTGACCACAGATGCCTTAGAAATATTGCTGGCATCTGCTGGGATCACCGGGTAAGTAATAGTGATGTTAGACGCAGGGTATTAGGGAATGATGGTAAATCAGTTGATGAGGTTATGAATCTTCATCGACTGAGATGGTTGGGCCACGTATTACGTATGCCTGAACACCGATTACCACGACGTGCAATGCTAACCGGGGTAGGGGATGGTTGGAAGAAAGTTAGGGGCGGCCAAACCAAAACGTGGCATCAGTGCCTGAAGTCACTAACTTCTAGTCTGAGCCATGTTGGTAGATGCAGACTACTTGGTTGGGGTCTGCGTGACTTTCGTAACCAATGGTTGGAGACTCTTGGTGACATGGCTCAGAATCGATCACAATGGCGTCGGTGTATACACTCCCTGTCTTCTTTTAAACTAAGAGACTAAAATCACTTCATTCTTTCTGTCTACGAACTAATTCTTTCTTCCTATACTATATCCTTATTGCAACCTTTGACCTAACTACTCCTATGAATCCGAGTGTTCATCTTGCTGTGCTAATGAGGTATGGCAACCTGGACCGATGCACATGTCTTCCTGGTCCCACGTTGTAGCTGACTGACTGACTGACTGAAGCCTAAGTCTTTAGATCTCCACTTAACATCTCAACATAGTGCATGCAACGTCAGTAACTTAGACTAGTGTCCACATCGCAACTTGATCAATAGAGTTCCAATAGCACTAAGAAGGACTTGACGTATATAACAGTGGTCACTACTCAGTGATCAATGAGTTGTAAATTTTCCCTACTGACTTTTGCTAGTATACGATTGGTTGTCCTTGTTTTCAGCTTACTACTTCTGGTTGGTTTATTGCAATTTAATATTTATTGATCATCAAGTCTTTTCTCAATTTCTATCTCTTTCTTTCTCTTTCCTATCCATCGTGTAAGTGGGATTATTGACGAAGTGTTATAAATAAACTAGTTGTCTGGTTTGTGTAGTTTGCATACGACCCGTTTAATATTCGAAAAATCTTTCAGTTAGCTGTATTAAAACAAAACAGTTTGTTTTGTTAAGATCACTGATTGATTCAAGTTAAACGACCGTGAATCAAACCCTAGACCGTTGTCCCCTCACTCGAACTATAAACTCCTAAACAATTGAGCTGGGATACATTAGTGTACAAGTCCAAACTCAATAAAGCTGAGATAATAGACCACTATCCTGCATTGTCTTCTTAATCTCAGTAAAATCCAACAATTTCCAAAACCACATACTAAAGCAGTATGTGTTTATAACTGTAGAAATGCAAGAAAAGAACATTTCAAAAATCATTTGACGTTTAATTTGTGACGGTTGACCATTTCCTCGTTTTCATATCTAATTAAATTATAAGCAAGTTGATAGACATGACGCTTTCATTGACTATGTGTTTTTTTCCTCGATTTGGAGAGTACACTTATGACACATATAGTGTTCTGTATTAAAAGTACCAACAAAATTCAGACTTCTAAATTATTTCAGTTATCATACAAATTGACTTTCTCTGAATCTAGATACAAAATGTTTCAGAGTTAAATTATGTCATTACATAACCAACATAATCACTAGTAGCTCACCTGATGTTTGGTAGTTTTATGTCACATACAATTAACGTGTACCATATTATTATTATTACTATTAATAATAATAATTATTATTATTATTACATCGTATCTTGTATCACAAGATGAATTGTGGAAATTTGGTCCACAGGTACACATTTATCCCAATTCTTACGTTATCGCTAACAAGTTCAAATCTGTCTCCGTCTAATCTAGTTTGAGCTATTGGATAGTGAAACTACACGCAAGTCGCATCAAAAGTTTGATTCTTCTCTGTTGAACAACTACCTTACGGTTAATCCTAATTATAAATAAATAACAGATATCTCCTAATACAAGCGCAATCTACGTGATATAATGGTTTCAATGACTAATTCACACAATACTTTAATAGGAAAGAAGACAGTAATTCTAGGAAATTAAAGTTTTTAATGCAACAAATCTGTGTTATGTAACAAATAACATTAGCCTTTGGAACAGATAATCAAATTAAAACGATTTTAATAGCGGTTGGTATGAATAGAAAAAAATGTATCAAAGAATTCCTTGGTCATCAGAACCGTCTTTTTATTAATAGGAGTAAAATGAAACTACATAGTTTCAGTTCTTCTAAACCTGTCATTTCGACTGAATTCATAAATTTATACTTGATCATCAAATAAGTTACTTGAACCTGGTAATTTATACTTTAAAATCAGTTCTTGGATGTGGGCAAATCCAGCTGATGAGTTCCAAGCAGAACGAAACGCACATCCTGGATCCAACCATTAACTGCGATTCGTCACTGTTTTAAAAATGATTATGACTTATTGGTAATATCAAGACAATCTGCACAGGATTCAAATATGTCTAAAAGTGATTGATCAATTGCAATCTTAGACATCAATGAGGAGACACGAATAACCATAATATATGAGTTTTCATGTTTATTTTTTAACTTGTTATACCTTCCACGTTGTCACATATATTTTGTTTTCTATCATTACCACCGCGGCCGCCGCACCCCTACCATCCAACTATCTGTAGGATGCCATTTCTTTCTTTGATTATACAGTGGAGAAGATTCGACCTATCCCTAGATCCACAAGAAAATTGGTAAGTTAACTTCAACCTTAATTTACTTACTCAGGCATGTTACTGCTTGTGGAGAATAGGCTGCCGACCAGCAATATCCAATCTACTCTATCATGGGCTCTCCTTTCCAGTTGTTGACAAGTCCTATTCATTCTTATAATGTATACCTCCAATTCCTGACGCAATATTATTTTGATCTGCCTTTTTCCTTCTTGTCTTAAGGAACTCAAGTTAGGGCTTACTTTTTTTATACAGTTTGGTGGTTTCTACAATGTGTATCCTGTCCACCCTCACAGTATTTTCCTAAGTTTGTTTTCATCTGGGAACTGATTTATTCTTTGCTACAGTAGGTCATTGCTGATAGTGTCTGGCAAACGGATATGGAATATCTTCCATAAACAACTGTTTATGAATACCTGTACCTTTTTAATGATAATTTTAGTAGTTCTTCAGGTCTTAACTCCGTACAATGCAACTGTCTTGATGTTGTTATTGAAGATCCTGACTTTGCTTTTACCTGACAATTGTTTTGAGTTTTGGACGATCATTAGTTGTAGGAATGCTTCTATTTCTTTGTGAATCCGTGCCTTTAAATCTGCACCAGATCCTCCTTGTTTATAATTGATGCTTACCTGGTGGTACGTGAAGGTTTCAACTTCTTCCATAGCTTTTTTTTGGTTGGTCCCCACTGTGCTGTATTTTGGGATCTCCCTTTTTCCCTTGTAAACTTGATCTAATTAAATTGAATTTTCCTCATACTTTTGACTCACATTATTATTGTTTTCCAACTGTACCAACTCTTAATTATAAGAGTTTCGTATTTTCATGTTGTTAATGTTAACAACTGTAATTGATCAGTCCCCATGTTGGTGACGTAATTAAACCCTAAATGGATTGCCTCAATGTTGCCAGCTTGAAAGCGAAAGATAATAAGTTGAAATTTCAGCACGCAAATCAAAATTGGCCAATGATAGGTGCATCCAGATTACTAAAACCAATCATTATCTACGATCTTCATAGAATCACAACGTGTAACCCTAATCAGTCAACATAATTCCTCGTACCATATATATATTTTTTCTAGGAAATATTTGTTTAGCTACTCATTAGTAGTAGGAATACTAGTTAATAAAATGTTTTGTCCGCCTTGAACTCATGCCCATCTGATATCATTACAATTATAATCCTTACCCTTCCCACTTTTTTTAATTATAGTGTGGTACACCTTCAATGCGTTATTTTGTAGAATATTCAATAAAATATAAAGTATCTTTCAGTGCTCATAAAGATCACTCATTATTAAGTTTTTGTAATGTTAATAATTCTTAATATTATTGTTATTGTTAGCACTGAGAATAAAATGCTATGATATCGATCATTCATCCACAATGTGCTAGTTGAATAGGCTTTATTCAGCCTTATTTACAGTTGGTCAGAACTCTGAATGAACATTATCAACAACCGTCCTCTCTGTAGTGAATAGTTTGATCGTTATACACTCCTTGTCCTTCTAGATAACATCATCAGTACAAAAATTTGATAGAATTGATTTGTCTTGACTTAAACACAGCTTGTTCGGTCAAATCTGATTCAGATTGGTTGTTGTGAACACCTTTTCTGTCTTGATCTCTACTAATTTTGACTGTATTTCCTTTTGATTTGAATTCTAACTTCACAAATGTTCGTAGTTCTTATAATTGATTGATATAAACCAAATTACGTTGTGGCGTTTGATAAGTAATTATTGTACATCCTGATGAAGAAGAGAGTGTTCATTTTGTCACGCGATACTTATACCGATAAACATTTACAGAATACCAAATATAGATATCTCATCTTAATTTAAATATAGTTTTGGCTACAAGCAAGCTTTTAACAAGTGATGAGCACATAATAAAGCTGTATTTCGTTGTCACGATCTTAATTACCTCTGCATTACAAACGTATGGCTATAAACGTACACAAAATATCGAACTTGTGACCTTTAGATCTTGTGGTGGTGAACATGCTACGGTTTAGTCTGTGATATAAATAATCATTTATGTTACTAGACGAATAGATTTCCAATTTCAGGTAGTTTGTCATTATCCTCAAGCTTCTTTAGATCTCTTCCGAACGTGAAATATAACCTGCTACATGTGTACGCCGTTTCATTTTTCCACTCCCCATTGGCATAGAGATGAAATTGTCAAGTTTAATCCCAGAGAAATGGACGTAGTCACAGTATTCATAGTAATAGAAAGGAATATATAGCAAAGATATGATTCACGAAGAAAATATGGGTTAATACGATAAAGAATCAAAAATTTTCAAGGTAATTAAGAAGCTTAAAATTCAGTTGAAGGCAAAGAGTGAATCCACCTATTCCATTGCAAATGATTCTAAACCATGTCACCTAGTATCTCTAACGATTATTTACGATATTCACATGAACCCCAACTAAGTAGTTTGTACCTACCTACATGGCTCAATCCAGCAATCAAAGGGGTATCCGTCAATTCAAAGTAATAACTAACTCATCCGTATAGGGTTTTGTTTTTACACCTCATAGTTCAATTTTTCTATTCGAATGACTTTTACCAAATTTTTTGATTTACTAAAAATACTTACAGATGTATTCTTTTATTTTTGCAAAAAATAACCCAACTCTCTGTTTAGATTGATACCTCAATCTTAGATCCAGGTACATATTATCTACGTGTTATGAATTGTAATCCAAACGATGTAAATATGTGTCTAGCTAGAATACATTTACTTGGTGAATCCGATATTAAACAACAATGCTATAATAAACTATTGGCAGTAAGTAGAATTCTTTTTATACACACAGACACACTTGTTATTTATCTCACTAGTTTTGCATTTTCCCCTCGATTTATGCGGCTAATCTTTGAATGACTGTTTGTTGTCACTACGGACAAGAAGTTCACTAACCTCCGATCTCGCGCGCGAACGCTTAACCTCTAGACCATTAAGCCGGCATCCTACAGTGTTAATGTCCTTGCTTCGTGTCCCGCATGAGGAATCGTGAATGCAAAATGCTACGTAGTCCCATACTAGAACGAAACGGCCGTCCACATTTTCAACGGTGGTCTAGGTTAAATCGACTCATGAATCCAACTATTAAAAATTATTACACTCTCCACCCCCCATTCTATTATATATATTAGTTCATTGTCACTTATGTTTTATTACAGTTTACAATATTTCCTATTGACGAAAAAGTTTCAGCGGTTCTGTTGAAACCAACAGGATTTGCTTAAACTAGATAATTCGGAGAAATTAATGTATAACACTTCAATAACAATCCGCTATACAACTGAAAGAGGAAAAGTTGAAAACTGTGAAAGTTTAATATTCGAACAAGTCGACATTTTGATAGAATAACCTTATTTGTATAGCAATAAATATATCTCTGAGACACGACAAAAGCAGCAAATTTAGAGCGAGATCATTGAATTTGTCAGTAGAAAAGGTCATTGCCGAATTATGAATTGGAGGGGCGCTACTGTGAACTTCATTACACGTTAAAAATATTGTTTATTCAACAAAAGTAATAAGACTAAACAATTTTATTTCTTCCTAACAGTATCTAGTCAAGTGAGTAACTATTCAGGTACTCAGCTTTGAGCCATTCATTTTGTACAATCGGCAAGGACTCGTAATACTACCAGACTGTTAAAATCTTAGTAGTCAAAGTAATATACGGAGCCGCATATTACTGACGCTGATGGCTGTAATCTTTAAACCACTCATGTTTTAACTAATTAGTCGTAAGTTAAAAAACGTTAGAATTGAACTGCTGAATATTATCACTAGCCCTCACAATTACAGTGTAATACAAAGTTGAGTACAATTTAAATCTGTACTTGGCATACTATTGAAACAGAAATTCTTATCAAATAACCCTTTCATATGCAAAATTCTCTTAATTTAATCGCGCGTTTTTTAATCCGACTAAACCTTTTTTGTTTTCTCTTGTATATTTGTGTTTCAGTTTATATTATCTGAACCGGCTTTTGATTATCTGCGTACTAAAGAAACTTTAGGATATACTGTTTATCTCCGATATTGGCGATCATCTCCTGGTGGTACATTACATTCAGGTATCAGTTTAGTAGCATATAGTCCAGCTAATAAATATTCCATTGATTATGTCGCTGGAAGATTGACTGCTTTCTGGCGTCGAATAGCTCCAAGGATTATTGCTGCTATGCCATCGGAAACGTTTAAAACGTCAGTAAGTGTAGAATGTTGTATTCTTCTTGGGTTTTTTTATTTCTACACTGTTATTCCGACTATAAAGTCTAAAGAATTTCTCAAGACTATAGTACCAGTCAGTTAAGACCATGTTCACGATAAGATTTTCCCGTTCCCCTTTTCGTTTAATTTGTCGATGATATACCTATACAATATAGACTTTGTTCAGTTAATCATTTTCGTAAATAAGAGATCTTAATTAATATTCGAATAACGCTCAAGTTTTAGTCGCTGGAATAAAATACCGTACGTTTGTACATTTTAAGTTCTTCATAAATTGACAATCCACATTTTCTCTCAATGGTCGTTACTGTTCTAGTTTTGGTTGATTAATTGTTTTGCTATATTTATTTTTCTGTGGATTTTGTACCTTTCAATTATTAACTTGGCATTTCATAGTTTGGATTTCTAACCATTAGATCCCTACTTAAGTGTTCCAAGGTTGAAAGCTCTTTATAAGTCCTGAAGGTCATGAATCCGATCTATGTCAGGGTTGTGGATGTCTACTGCTAATTAATCCCATTCTTCGTCAAAAACACATGTCTACCGCTTTCGACTCTCGATAGTTTTCTATCTACAGTCAATCGGTAACGTAAACAATAGAATTCATAATCTTCACAAACTCTTTATACAAATATATATACGACTTTCAACCACATTGTTAAGAGTTTTGAAGACTATCAGTTATACGATTTGTTCGCCTAAACCGAAGTAGTTAGAAGCGAGTGTATGTGTCGGTAGTTTGAAATCGAAACTTTGATGAACTAAAAGTTGAACTCATTTATCACTGAACTATCCCTTCACTTTATGATTGATTAATGTATTTTTCTTTTGTTTAATAAACAAACAATCAAATTATAAAATTGTTCACAGTTTATACTTCAGTTACCATAGTAAACGTTTTGTTGTATTCAAAAAAAACTTTCTATAGGTAGAATCATTGATATCTGTGCATCAATTAGAAGATCCCAATATGATGACAGAATTTGAAAGAAATTGGGATGAAATTATGGAAAGTACAGCGAATTTTAATTATCGTGAAGAATGTGTAGGTTGATTTGTATTAAATTATTTATATTTATTTGAACACGTAAATATTGGTACAAGGGAGTCGTGAAGGACCAACATAAGCCAGTCCTTTGCAGCTTTCTTTCATACCACAACACAATGTCATAGACTGACAACCTCTCCGCTTTATCCAACCAGTCCCAGCGTCGGCAAATAAAGCAAGACGTGGAATTCTCTGGGACGACATTCGTAGGACATGTCCGAGCCACCGAAGTCGATGCTTCAAGATGGTGACACCAATTGCATTATCGTCTCTGTGCCCGAACACACGATGCCGAACCTCTGCATTACTAACATGGTGTTGCCACTGAATGTCAGCAATCCTTCGGAGACAAACGATGATCAAACACAGAGAGTTGTCCAACGTCCTCAACTCGGAGAGGCCAGGTTTCACAAGCATTGAGTAGAACTGCTCTCACCGATGCGTTGTAGATCCGACCTTTTACAGCCAAACTGACATCACGAAGGCGCCAAAGTTGGCCCAGATTAGCATAAGCTGCTCTGGCTTTCACTATACGTGCATTGATCTCATCACTCACACCTCCACCAGCACTTATGCAGCTACCCAGATACACGAACTTCTCGACTACTTCTATCTGCTCACCATCCAGGGTGAGTACAGGATTAGAATCCTGCTAGTCTTGTAGAAGTACTTTGCACTTCGAAGGTGCAAAGCACATACCATACCTACGGACACTGATTGCCAAGTGATCTATATATATCGTTATATATATATCATTATTTACCTGTCAGATGATGAGGTCCAAATAAAAATTGTAAATTATGAATGAATATTGATTTTAATCTTTGTTTTGATATTTTTTGTCAGTAAGACGTGTTCAAACCTTTTCTCTATGAAATTTTCACTCATTATCACAGTCAAACTAAATATCATAACTATTTGAACCCAATTTTCAACTGGGTATTTGCATTTAAACAAGTTCATTCAAATATCAAACACTACAATCATCTTGTATTCATAAAAAAAGACATCATACTGTTATGACTTTTGCCCTGTTATTTATCATATGACAAGTTCGGCAGTCAGAACACTAACTTACACGACCTTGCCCCTTTGTACTAAACCCATGACGCGTTAACCATCACGATCAACCTTGAATCAACATTGAGTGATAATTGGTCCTCTGTATAGTAACTTCTTGACTAGTCCTGTTCGCTTGAGTCCAGAATGCAATCTCAGCTTACACTGAATGAATTATGTATTTCAGAAATATGCAGTTTATACACAAGTAAACCAGATCGCATCATACTGTAAAATAGAAAATAACAAATATACAGAATCAAGCCAAAAGTGGCTGTGAGCGCGAGATACTGTAACTAATAAATTAAGAAAATATAAGGATATTAAATCGTATAATAATAGTCAACAAATCAAATGAAAGTTTATGATAAAAGGAATATGAGTACACGTATAATCTAGATACTTAATAGTTTTATAATAAAAATATATGTAATAGTAGTCCATAAATAATTCCTAGCAGTTACCATCCATTTATTCTTCGTTATGATATAACACATACTATTATGTCTTTCAACCTCTGATTAAAACCACATGACAATGGCATCAATCGGAAGCATGACTTATGTGATTTAGTGTTTCTGACTTGTTTAGTCACACGTTCAACTGGCACTAGTAACTTTGATCCGGTAGCTAGGTCTCTATTAGTCCACTACTCACTGACTCCTCTCTATGCCCAGTCTTCAGTTCGAAAGTCAGCGACCAACCTCTAATATATTTATATTTCAAATAGATTTAGTTTATATACAGACATAAAAGACCACATCACATCATAAAATGAAAAATAACATCCAAAAGTGACTGTAAATAAGGGAGACTGTATGTGATAGACGGGCAACAAATTAAGAATAGTAAGTAATGTAGCAGTAATTAATAAGTCAACCGAAAGCTTATGTTCAAAAGAGCATTTACATATTACCTAATAATTATACGACAAGAATGTGTATGATAATAGTCCATAAATCAGTCTTGGAAGTTACCTTTCCGTTATTTTTTGTCCTGATATAACACTTATGTCTAATAACCACTAATGGTAATCTCTGGGCTTATAGTGAGAAGGTTTTTACCAATGAAGTCATCCATAGCAATCAATGGTGATCGTAGAATATCATGAATCGACTAAAGTTAAAAAGGTCGAATATTGGATGTCGACTCACTTGTCCTACATTGTAGCTGACTGATTGACTCACTGATGATCTGCGGATTAAGCTCTCGCTTCAAACACCTAGCAGTCTTGAATTCTATCTTTAGTTAGGATTGTGCTTGCAGATTGTTGAGAAATTCAGTGTTCCCTGGTTTTTATTTGATCAATTTATACAATCATATTTCTAGAGCAATTAAGTTGCATGTAGTGGTGGAATAAAAGATTATTGTCGTATATAAAAAATATTTATTAAAAGATATCTTTTTCCTCTCCCCCCGCCCGTCACACAACAGACATACAAAGGATATTACACTCAGTAACTGATTTACAAGTAAATAATAAAATGGGAATAGATCGGTAAGACAAAATGAACAGTAGTTTCATCGTTTACATTATAGGCCGGTCCTAACTAACTATAATAAGCCATGAAGAACGTGAAAAAAGCGCAGTCCTAGCACATGACTCTCCAAGTGCACCAATCCACAACTCTGTCGGAAATGAACCCAGAAAAATCAGGTCACGTAGTCTGATTGTCAAGCGCTCACCGCAAAATCTGAAGGTCATTTTTACGACTCATGTTGGTATCATGGATTCAAACTCCGGAGTCGTTTTATACTAGGATGAATCAGTTGTCCAGTGCTTCTTGGTTTTCAATAATTGTTTGACAAAAATCATATGTCTATGATTTAAACCATTAAACTCAACTGTCTGCGCAAACCTCTATAGTGTAATTGCCTTATGATAACAGTAAAGAAGATAGTAATATTATATCGTATATTTTTATTTATTTAGGTGAAAATTTTGTCAACTATTACCCAAGAAAGTTTATTGAATTTCTTCTTAACAGAATATTTGGATGTTAAAAAACAACGTTCTTTATTTGTACAGGTAAGTAAACATTGTATTGATGAGAGGTTAATTTAGGCCACTGGTGAGACTTTAATTTATGGACGACCTTTAAACGAAGCTAAAGTAACCTTAAGAGTGTTTACCTACTTACTAGAGCTATATGAGTGTTATAAACCTGTGGGAAGAATAAGGATTATGATTTACAATTGATGGTTAGGGTTAGGAATTAGACGAACGGACATCAGCTAAAGTGTTAAAACGCTATTCAGACAAATAAGTTAATGAATTTCGCTCCAAAATGCAAGACCTGTTATCATTAATCTGATTGATACGTCCATAAATTATAGTCTCGCCTAGTTCAGCTACATTCACTCTTTATCTTACTCTCAATTTTCAAATGTAATATTCTTTCTTTTTTTCCGCATTGATTCTATCTACACTGATTATAACTAACTGCATATACAGTCAGTTGAAATACAATTTGACTCATTTATTTAAAAATGTGGGTATTGATAAATCATTCATAAAGTGTTCCATACTTAATTTCGTTGAACGCTGGGATACTAATCTTTAAAAAAATCATTGAGATTCATGAGGGGCATTTGAAAACTATTTATAATCATGGTTTATTATTGATCAATGATTGTAGAGCTTACTGACACAGCCCCAGACTTAATCAAATTTAGAGCATATTTAGCAGATCAGTTGAAATCTGAGATCCAATAATCCACATCTTACAAACTCATTCAATTTGTGAAATAGAATAACTGTCCAGTACAGGTCTTGCTTGTATATAGAGCTTCGATCAATGAAGCTTTGTGTAGTTATTCGTTGTTTTGAAATTAATCACCTTTTTTAAACATTACTCTATATCGAGATCTAGATTGTAGATGCTTCTACCTTGATGTATCATGATTAGGCTTGCATATTATAATGACTCAATTGATCTATGTCGACTGTAACATTTGTTCTGTAGTGTCTGGTACTATAACAAGCTAACAGGTTATTCTGGCTTCTGGATGGGCCAATTTATTCAATCTTTTCATGCCACATTTCGACCTTGTTGATTATTCGCTTCTTAACCCTGAATGTTTTCTGTATGATCGTAGGTGTGTCAATTGCTCACTCTGTTCATTACGTGTTTGTAAATTATCTTTGGTTTGACTATAAATATTGAGATACGCTTGGTCATATTGAGTTTGCTCACTCGTCTTCTCTGCTGCGCATCGCTTCGTTTACCATTTTTCCAACGAAACTATCCGTTTTATTCTCTTCGTTTCCCTGACTGTCTGTCTAGATCAACGAGTGTATGAAATAAACGTATTCAAAAGTCATCTTATCTGACTTATCCCGCTATTCACTAACGCGAACAAAGTCGACAATTATATACGAGGCTTGGTGCCATTTATATTTCAATGGCTATCATCTTACGATCTAACTTGCGACAGATACAAGTTCATCTAGGTCATTTTGAGGACGATAGGAATTGAAGCAACAGTTCGATATCCGAGGGTGAATTCATGCTGTCGATTGTATGATACGGGGAGCATGATAGCAGGATAGGTGTTTCCTCTCAGACAACTATCTTTCGCATCAATACTGCCTTTTCACAATGAAGAAGGGCAGGTCAGAAAATGTCGGCTGTAAAACTAATGCATCTCATGGTTCCCAAATAAATCCTTTCATCACTTCTTAGTATTTCTTCCGTCTCTACTATCAGTACTTCTCCTATGACTTCATCTTTATTCTCCAGGCATCACCAGTAGTAACGATCCGAGGTCATATAGTTTTATTCCCGGTTATTACCGAAACTCGTTTGTTAACTTACGTACTGGAGCTTTCATTGTTCTAACTTTGTCAGATTGGACAAATGTTTTGTTACAATAATCAAAAGTAATAGAAGGGTTCGACGAAATGAAGTGATATCAGAAATAAATTATAATTAAAATCATGAGAATATGAAAAATGACTAAAAAGAGATGGGCATATTTTTAAATATGAAATAAAATAATGATAATAATGGCTTAAGGCCATGATAAAGACAAGAGGTACTTCCTTTGTACGTTATTTAATCCAGCACTACAAACGTTCTCTTACGTCATCACTTCTGCCTGACGTTTGCGCTGATGATGTCGTTCAGAAGAACGATGAAAGATCAACGGCTAAACCATCCACCTCAGAGAACAAAACTTCACCAAAAAGTTACGTCGTCATGACTATTTCTTGTTCATATATCCTCAAGGGATTAAAACTTACAATTAAAGTTTCCATATGTACATACGATTATATAGCTTGATGATGAATTCGTTGAAAAAAAGATCCATTCACTGAATTTCGTGTTTTTTAATACACGGTGTTCCAGTCTGGTTAAATTTGATCAAACGTTATCCGTTGAAGCCGACTGGGGACAGTTCCCGTTTTTCAAGGCTCACAAATTTACCGTGAACGTAATCTTATGCAGACCTGCTTCGGTTTGGGCACCCGGGCAGTATCACATCCCTCACACATATCAAATGAGATTTATGTGGCACATATGTATTTGGTGCCTCCTTGTAGCAATATCTATGTGATCAAATAAATAAATAATTTTGTGGAGAAGCCGATACCCCGGGTCTTGACATACGGTCAGCGCACCAGGGGCAAATATGGTCTATGCGCATACTGGTAACAAGTTTTCACCCATGCATCCTTTAGCATACACATACTTATATTTACCCACCTGGCAGTGTAGATGGTCACCACTTCATTTGAATGTATTCGCTTCAACTGACTATCACTTACTCATTACATGCATACCACTGGTACAAAGACTTTCGCCCTTGAACTGAATGACAGACATATAATCATAAGCACTGTTTCAGGGAGGGTTTACGGTCATCTCTTTTTTATTAGCTACCATATTTTTGATTATCTATTCGACCTGAATAATTAGGCCTCTAATTTTATTAGACATATGGGAGACATTTTTTTCAGCTTACCATTTCTTGCGGTAACAGATGCTCGTACCCTTTGCATATATCTGCACTCATAAACTTTACAAGCCGAGACTCATTTAATTCTGATACATAAGCATCCATATCGGACAGCCTGTAAGGTTTTAGTAAACCCCGAGATTTGAACCTGATTAGTCCGATTTACAGGAGTGAAATGGATTAGTCCGATCTCCGCTGACCATCCATATTAGCTAACAGGATTGCTCTCACTACATAGTAGCACCAAGTTTAGGCTTTGAGTCGGATTTCGCTGTCATTATTATTACTTTCTCTTGTTGAATGATTACCATGTTTCACTTTAAACCGTAGCTTGGTCATTATCGATCAGTGTTTTTTTCTTTTTCTAGCTGACCTTTAAATTCACTTCATTTTTAGAATTGATCAGAGGATCCATTATTATTATTGTTATTACTATTGTTACACTTCATGTTGAGTGTTTTATCTATTTTCCAAGTATATTTGTGTTGCGTGTGTAGGTTATGAGTTGTTTATTGTATACATTAATTTCAGTACTGTTGAATAGATTTCCATGATCAAGAGAGAAAAAACAATAGATTTTACAAATGTAATATCATTATATTCTAATTTATTTATTATTAATAAGTACACATTAGTGTGATTGGCTATGACCTCTAATTTAAGTATGATTACTAGTAGTAAGTTATCGGTCGTTTAAGTTAAAGTAGATGAAGCGAGACTTTTCCCTAAATGCCCTGGTACGGACGAGGGTGAGAAAAGTAAACTCTCCCTTTGCAAATGCTCTCACATGACCACAAGTATACAGCCACTGTCAGGGAAGTTCTACTCATTGCCCTCTCGTGCCACCGGTGTTGTTTACGAAATTGAGAGGACGAAAATCGAATGTCCGACGCTCTAACCGGGTTGGTGGATATGGAGGATCCACTTAGGGGAGTTGGAAAACCCTGATTTCAAACTAATAGTGCACATAGGCTCCAGCATCCTGGTCACCGGTTACCACAGGACTGCATCTCCTGACGTTGTTACACTGCCGTTTGGATCAGACTTTTAGACCGAAGGCTCTGGATGTGGCTGCCTAAGTAAACCACCTGCTCCGGTTTGGGCACCCGGGCAGTATCACAGCCCACACACAGATCAAGTGACTTGTGTGGTGCATATGTATTCGGGGCTCCCTTGTACTAATATTTATGTGTTCAAATAAATAAAATAAATAACAGTTACACTATGATATTCAGATTCATATATTAAATGAAGCAACAACAAAAAATGATCAAAAAGTGGCTTAATATAATAACATTTATTGTATATTCAAGATAATGTAAATAATCATAGTTCCTCCATCAAAATTGTCCATAGAATCTTGTGTTTGTGTTAATTTCTCATAAAAAACCAACAATCGATTTTAATCGGGTCGTATATTGTGAAACTCATGAATCGGCGAGACTATAATTTATGGACATATTAATCAGATTAATGATAACAGGTTTTGTATTTTGGCGCGAAATTCATTTACATCCATTTGGCTAAATAGCGTTTTGGCATTTTAGTTGAATTTAGCTCGTGATGAAACCTCTAAGTCTAATTCCTAACCCTAACCATAATCCTTATTCTTCACACAGGTTTATAACACTCAATTAGCCCTAGTACGTTTTCTATGTCACTTTAGCGTCGCTTGAAAGTCGTCCATAAATTATAGTTCCACTCAATAATCTTGTCTTTGAATATCCACGTTATATAATAATCAATATTGTGTTTTTTCTACTCTGAAAATCAATTACATACAGGTTGATGCAATTGCCAATCCAGAATTGACCAAAACTACTGTCTCCAATTCTTATTGTTTAGATTTTGATACGATTGACACAAATTGGGAAACATTGAAAAATGAATATACAAGTATAAACAGTATTGATATAACCAACGCTTTGATGACATGCGGTTATGATGAAAAACAAGCGATGAATTTTATGGTGAAATCGTATTCTAATAATAATGGTAATACAATTGATAGCAGTCTACTATTGAAGCATGGAGAAAATGTAGCGAACGAGCAAAAGGCTATGGTTTTCATAAATAATTTGTTTAAATTCCGTTCAACTATTCAATATCAAACTGGTCGAAACGTTTAATAATAATTGTTGTCATTGTAGTATTCTTTCTCCAAAAAAAAAGAGAACAAACTTTGACTTAAAATGGTGTAATGTATAACATTTTCTTCATATTTGAGAAACGTACATAATCCATTTTATTTGCTTTGTCAACACGGTGATAATTCACGCTTCCTACATCTACATGATGTGATTACAATTAACTTGGTATTTATGTATCTGTGTGTTAGGGGCGCCAGGGTGATTAATTCGAATTTCGCTCTATTTAATAGGCTTGTATTGGTAGTTGTTTCGTTTAATTCCTTATCTTTGTACTAAACCTATTTGATGTTCTTGTCTTTTCGTTTATGTTTGTACATATGTTCATGTGTACTAATGTACCGTTGATGAATATATAAATTCGATAGGCAAATATATGCATACATTTGACAATAAATGATAGTTTTTTCTTTCTTTCTGGATATCGGTTGTTATATTTTTCTAGAATGAAGAAACAACCTTTTTTGTCACTGAGCTGATTTGATATAGGATCATTAGACTTGTATACTAGAAATTAGACTGGTCACTAACTCGATCGATAATCCAGATAGTATGTCACGATACTAGACCAATGTCATACGCAGATTTAGTTCTAAACTACCCAACTCACGACTAAGAATAAAATATAAGCAAAAACAAAAAAAATAAGCCGCCAACACAGTGAACTCTCAGTGGAATCGCCTAGACTATAATTTGTGAACGAACCAATGAAATCAAAAACAGTAAGTCTTGTGGTTTGGTGCGAAATTTATTCATTCATATAGTTAAATACCATTTTGGCATTGGAGCTGATGTTCTAAGTACTTAAAACACTATAATTAAAACATTATGGACGATTGACACACTATGATTAGTTATACATCGTTGAAAAGTAATATTCTTATTGAGAAACTGAAAAATGAAACGGGTCTAGTGTTGATGGCTACAGCGACCTTAGATCTCAAGGAGAAACTACTACTTCAGACTAATTACATACTGTTCTTTCATGTATATCCTGTTTCTGATTTCGTTATCTTAATTCTAAACCTTTTGAACCTTACTATGGGCAATAAAAATCAGTGAAATACAAATGTGTATATGTAGGTGTGTGTCATTTCCCCTTTTCTCTATAGGAAAAAAATTTTAGTGAAGACCGTGGACACATGTTCAAAACCCCAATTAATTCAATATTACAACCCTCTACTCTAAAATTTGACAATTTCACTCATACTCGGAATATAATGAGTTTCTTTGAATGTATATATATAACCAATATAGCTAGCTAGAATTGTTACAATGTAGGTTAGGATACAAGTACTATCTAAAGATCAATCAAATATTGAATATTCAACTTTATTGAAAATGTATACAATTTGACACTGTTTGCCGAATAATTCCTCCTTCAACAACAAAAATCACCATAAAGTAACTTACCATTACACAAAGATCAATGTCATTTACAAGAATAAGAAATAAATTTTCTTAAAAGGCAAAAAAATATTTGTGCAATTAATAAAAAAGATTGGGTAAGTATCACTGATAATAATGATAATAGTAATGAAAGTATAATGAGAAACCTTAATGAAGAAAGGATACTTTGAGTGCTTCTTGTTCTAGAAAAACGATTTTCTATATATATGAATGTAATTTTGTATAAATATATCGGTATATTTGTATCTGATATGTATGTCTGTGTGAAAGTGTACTTGAATGTGTGTATGAAAGTGAATTTGTGCGTAATTTGGATAAGTGTTAAGTGTATTAGTGTGCACATATATCTATGCATATACGTACACGTATGTGTGTGTGTGAGTGCGTATATATTCATATATGTATGTATCACCGAGACACAAACACAAAATAATAATAATCTCAAATTAAAATAAAGAAAAACAGTGCATACTACTTTTAGAAATTCTTTTTTTTGTACAAGTTATGTAAACACTGGGCCCTTCTTTGTCAAGAAACCAAGATACAAAGAAGCACACCCACACATCATTTTTTTTATTGAAAAAAAAATGAAAAAAAAGGGGGGGGGGAAATCAAACTACACAGGTAAGTAAATAATAAGTAAGTAAATAATCTGTGTTTTTCATTATAGAAACAATAAACAAATGATGAGATCTGAGCAACAAGAAAGTAATGGAGAGAAAAGAAACAAACTCTAAAAATCGAACAGCACCGAAAAGTAAATAAACACATACACACAACAACACTGGAATGGAATAAAAGTTTCTTCAATAAAAATGATACAAATAGTATGTTGAAAAAAGAACGCATATCTATACATACAAACACTCACACATACACAATCTTATTTATCTGTCGGGATCAGGACAAAATTGATTATGGTATACTTTGTAATTTCTCTTTTAATTCAATATTCTCTGTCATTAATTGTTCACACATGAATTTCAATCGATTAACTGTTTGTAAATTCACACTGGATAATGATGTTGACGCTGATGTCAGTGTTGATGAGTCCGATGTTAAAGTGAGATTTCTCAAAAATGGAAACCATGTCGTTGAATTAGGGAAATTTGATGATGATGACGAAGACGATGGAGTAGTTGCAGATGTGTACGGTGAAATACTTGACGGAACTGATCGATACTGACTTGAGGATACTGCTGAAGTTGGTATTGAAGTAGTAGTAGTAGTAGTAGCAGTGACAGTGTCATTGTTACCATGATAAATTAATGGAGATTGAAGATAATCATCTAATCTCTTTTGTATAACTTTGCTTTTAGCCATTAAATCTGCTTCCAAACGTTTTTTACATCTTCGAAGAGTACAATTTTCTTCTTGAACTTCTGACATTCGATCGATTATAGCCTGGTAAAAATTATTATTATATATAAATATATGATTAAAGACTATATAAATGGTAAGATGATGCTACTGATAGACTTTAAAATATACAAGTCTATTCTACATATTCCGGTTATCATTTGCCTCAACAAGTAATTATGACATGAAAATAACTTTAATACGATATCTTACAAAAATACGTACCGATTTGTTTGAAAACATTCATCTCCAAAGTCTCTAGAAACTCAGAAATGCCGGTAAACACTTTATTCAATTAAAAATCGAAAAGAAGCTCAGCAGAAACATCCAGAATCTTGATGCCACAGTTTTGATTAGATATTTAGCTGTATACTGCTACAGACATTTTCAGAAGTCTAAGGTCGTGTTTAACTCTATAGGTACCCTTGTCTTTATTGTACGGAAACTAACTTTTAAATAAAGGTTTTCTTCTCAATACATGCCTCTTCTTTATTGTTCTAATTGACGTTTAGAAGTAGTTGAGATTATGGTATGTGCTTTGCACCTTCGAAGTGCAAAGTACTTGTTATTCGAAGCGGGAAAAGTAGTTTCCATAGATATAGAGAGTTCATCATTTGCGTGTGGACTGCGATACTGCCCAGGTGCCCAGACCTAAGCAAGTGGTTATCTTAGGGGGCCACACCCCGAGCCTTTGACGACCTAAAGGTCTGACCCACAAGGCAATGGAGCATCGTAAGGAGATGCAGTCCCATAATAGCCGGTTACCAACGATTGGTTCATACGCCATTTGTTCCCGCAGGATACTGGAGCCCATGTGCACCATTGGTTTTAAATCTGGTTAAAGCGCAGGACATTCGCTTTTCGTCCTCTCATTTTCGTAAACAACACCCCTGCCACGAGAAGGCAGTGAGTAGGACTTCCCTGGGAGAGGCTATATACGTGTGGCCGTGTGAGAGCATTTCGAGATGGAGGACGGACTCTCCCTACTCTCGGCCGTACCAGGGCATTTGGGGGCTACGGTATGTGCTTTGCACCTTCGAAGTGCAAAGTACTTCAACAAGACTGGCAGGATCCTAATCCTGTACTCACCCTGGATGGTGAGCAGATAGAAGTAGTCGAGAAGTTCGTATACCTAGGTAGCTGCATAAGTGCTGGTGGGGGTGTGAGTGATGAGATCAATGCACGTATAGTGAAAGCCAGAGCGGCTTATGCTAATCTGGGCCATCTTTGGCGCCTTCGTGATGTCAGTCTGGCTGTAAAAGGTCGGATCTACAACGCGTCGGTGAGAGCAGTTCTACTCAATGCTTGTGAAACCTGGCCTCTCCGAGTTGAGGACTTTAGACAACTCTCTGTTTTCGATCATCGCTGTCTCCGAAGGATTGCTGACATCCAGTGGCAACACCATGTTAGTAATGCAGAAGTTCGGCATCGTGTGTTCGGGCACAGAGACGATAATCCAATCGGTGTCACCATCTTGAAACTTTGATTTCGGTGGCTTGGACATGTTCTACGAATGTCGTCCCAGAGAGATTCCTCGTCGTGCATTATTTGCCGACTTTGGGACTAGTTGGAAAAAGTGGAGAGATGGTCAGTGCATGACATGGTGTCGTGGTATGAAAGAAAGCTGCAAAGGATCGGCTTGTGTTGGTCCATCACGACTCCCTGGCTGGAGTCCTAGAGACGTGGCACGAGAAGGCAATGAGTAGAACTTCCCTGACAGTGGCTGTATACGCGTTGTAGTGAACAGAACACGAGTGGGGAGAACCGAATGTATTTAGCACAAAATTACAGAGTTACTTGGTAAAATAGAAGAACCATATAGTAAATCGTTAATTTGCAAAATATCATTCTATCATATCAAACCGGACTGTTGCCGTTGCAAACATCAATACATTGTCTCATATTTCATTGTTCATGCGGTTTCTTACAAACTGCATTGTGTTCTCGCTCTTCGTTTCTTGATCTTTCCCCATCTCCTGCTGCCAGACATTACGTTCTTTAACTCGCGTGATATACTACTTACATCAATATAAGTAGCACGCACCACAGCGTGGCCATCTGTGAAAGCATTTCAAGAGGAAGAGCTAACTCTCAGCCTTACCAGGGCATTTGTAGGAGAGTCCTCTAAACATTGCATGTCAGAATGACCAAAATGGGAAGGGCGACACTAAAGTGAAACAACTGTGGAAAGCTCCTGAATTCTCCACCTGTAATCAGTTCGTTACGTAGAATGTTTTCTTGTTAGAAAAAAAAAAGATGAGAAGAATACAAAAGAGTAGATTCTATTTTTACTTACTTTAAAGTCAGCTGTTGAAAAAAATCCTGGAGGCATTTCATGAAAACTAGTATTTTTTGGCATAGATACATTTGATAATTTATTATTCATCATCATTGAATCATTCATCATTTCATTAGATATTCCATTAGATGTTGAAGTTCCTAAGATTATATTACTACTAGTTAATGAAGATGATGATGAATGTAATGAATTCTTTCTTAATTGTTGTATAGATGTATCAATATCACCATTATGTTGATTACGTATAAATCGACTTAATTGACGTCTTAATTCATGATTTAATTTTTCACTACGACGTTTTATCACATCTATTTGATTACGTAATTCACTTTCAATAATATTCAATTCATGACATTTCTCTTGAGATTTATTTAATTCTATTAAAAGGGATTTATTTTCTTGAGTTAATTTTCTAATGGTTTGTTGAGCATTGAATATATCAAATGATATTTGATTTTCAATGGTATCAACTTTATTATTCAATTGTTCAATGGTTTGTTTTAATTGATCATGAGTGTAATTAGCTTGTTTTAATGAATTTGTGAGATTTTCTATGTCATTCATTAAAAATGCGGGAATTTGATTCAATTCACAATTTGGATCATTATTCGTTTGAATTGATTGATGTTGTAAGTTAATGATCATTGTTTGACAAAAATCATCTTGTCGACTACTACTATTATTATTATTAGTAGTAGTAGTAGTAGTATTAGTAGTATCTGTATGATTGGATGATAATTGTTGTGATAATTTATCTAATTCATTAGTTAACCGATAACATTCAGCTCGTAATGTAGATGATTGTAATTGAAATGATGATTCAGTATTAAATAATTTATCACGTAATAATTTATTCTCTTGTTTTAATTCTTCTAATAATGAATTATGATCAGAAAATGTAGTTTGAGCATTAGTTAATGCTGATTGTGTATAAATTAATTCTTCTTCTAATTGTTTAATACGTTTCTCTGCACGTAGTTTTGCATCATTTGCTGTAATTTGTGCTTCACGTAAATCAAGTAATTGAGATTGAAAACGTTGAAATTCTTCCGCAGATATAGAAGTAACCATAAGTGGAACTAATATGTAAATATAAATGTATGTATGCATATACTTCTCTCTTTCTATGTATAGATATGTATATATGTATATAGTTTATTAGCAAGAAAACTATAAAAAAAAAGGATAAAAATCAAGTATAATTAACACAGATTAGATGAGAAATAAAAGTACACTTTCGTTATTATATATGGATATGGATATATTAGATAGTGATAATAGCACTAATGAACTTACCTTTTAGTAAGTGTGAAGAGTTTATGAATTGTTAAATTATGGTAACTTCATATCAGTAACTGAGTTTAATTAGAGAATTATTAGAAATCAAGAAATAGTGGTTAGATATTTTGTTCTCAGTATCAAACTACTTAGTGACAGTGTAACATTCACGAACTTATCATGAATAGAACTCAAGACTAAGGAATAAGTAACACCGTTGATAGGAAGAATGAGTTTTTTCTTCTAGCAAAATAACATGCTTATATATTAAATACTGAATACAAGAAAAATTGTGACTACAAGTTATTTAACAAATAGATGACTGAATGATAAGACAACTGTAGGTAATTCACTCTACAATCGGATTAGTGTGTTTCAGGTTTGATTGTTGCCCCATGACACCAGTTTCTGATTATCAATACAACGAAACCTATTCCTAACAATATTCCAAAAATCAGAAATAATTGTACAGTCTATTCGTTTGTTCAACACAGGTAGATATAAATACGAAGTCAACGTCCCACAATCAATATAGATCCTGAGACAAATGTGTATTGTCCAAGTTGCCCTGCCACATTAAGATAATACAATGAAATTAACAAGACAGTAGCTGCTACCTGGATGTAGTGATCAGGCTTACACATCGCGGTGACTCAATTTAACTGTTGGTTGGAACATTTGTGCCTTTAGATCCTACAATGCCAAGGAGTTTGGTTGGAGAGTGGTAAGACTAAAAGCAACAAACTCATGATCCGAGGTCGAAATTGTCATTCCCAACAGCGTTAAGGTATTACCTCCAGATATCCAGCATCTCCAGAAATACTGCATTTTTGCAACAGAAAGAGGGACAGAAAAGATTGGTCCTAAAAATAATCTACCTCACCTTGCCCCAAAGATTTCCGTTACCAGAGGTAAAATTTGAAAAGTACGACGCTAACAAAGCAAAAACTACTAGAAAATGCTGTGTGCGACTAGCCTCAAGTAGCCGTCTCTTGAGCACTAAGGTTGAGTATTTAAGTCGTCGAGACCACCCCTCGCCCACTTTTCTTCTCACATATCTTAAGAAGTATGAGTCTACGGTGTAGACAATCGGGAACCGACAACCACTCTTGTACCCTAAACAGCACTCGATATTAACTTAATCACAAATATAAGGCTAACGTATCCAGTATCGTTGAATTACCTGTTAACAATAAGTTAACATATGAAAGCCATGCTGATGAAACTAAAGAGTTGTTAATCGATATGAGCAAATAACACAAAAAAAACATCACAATTTTGTATGATAAGGTGGTAAACTGCTAAGACAACAGTGCTGAAACCAGCCCCCCTTTCCATCGTCAATGAGAACACACCTCTCAAAATAATCTTATCGACGAAAGACTTACGCACATATATGACTATTGAACTGTCAATCAATATCTTACATGAATGGTAACAAATCATTGTGTACACACATTATTTTTTTCATGTAATCCACTTTAAATGGACAAGAATGTTGAGGTTATATTTTAAACACTGAAAGGCAACAACACATACTAATCGATAGATCTTGAGAGAGAGAGAGAGAAATATGAAGTGTATGTTGATCCTTTTTCTGAATGAATTTTAAGAAAAGTTAGGTGTGTTTACACAATATATATTTCAATATTGATCATAGCGTTTGAAGACAGATTTGATTACAAACTGATAGCAGAAAGAAAACGATAGAAATTATTTATAACAATTAACGTCTTCAATCATTCCATTGAACGAATCAATCAAAACATAAATGAATTATACATTGAAACGAGTGAATGATATGAGTAGTTAGAGATTATTAAGAACACTGTTCAGTTTACACTTGAATAGTGATGTGAACACTGGATTAGTTTTATTTGATAGTAACCAAATAAGTATAACCGAAAACCCGTAATATAAAAAAGCACAATACGAAAATTTTAATTTTTTTCTCTCTAACTCCATAGATTTATTCTATATATAACTCAAAAACAAGAGTTTACTTTCAAAACAGTTAGTCCCTTTGATAAATCTCGATAATAAAATGGAAGGACGAAGGTTATTAGGATAATGTGATATATTTGCGTAATACATTTCGAACAATCTGATCACACATACTTATTAAGACACTTTATATGAAAAATAAAAGGTCAACTAGATAAATTAAAAGGTAAGCGGAAACAAAGATAATAATGAAGTACACAAAAACAACGTGAAAGCTACTCTGAATAACAAATCAGTATTACCAGAGTAGGTTGATAACTGGTGTTGGGGATGGTTGAAAAAAAGTTAAGGGCGGCTAAACAGAAAGGTGGCATCAGTACTTGAAGTCACTAATTTCTGGTCTGAGCCATGTTGGTAGATGCACACTAATTGGTTGGGGACCGCGTGACTATCGAAACCAATGGTTGGAGACTCTCGGTGACATGGCTCAGAATCGACCACAATAGCGTAGGTGTATACACTCTCCGTCTTTCCTTAAACGACGAGATTAAAATCGCTTCATATCTTTCTTTTACATATTACCACCACTACGTCTATGAATCCAGTGTTCATCTTGTTGTGTTAATGAGGTATGACAACTTGGACCGATGCATATATGTGCCTGGTCCTACGTTATAGCTGACTGACTGACTAGGGTAGGTCAAGAGTAAGAGTTTCCGTACAGCCAACGCTTCAATAAACCTTATTATATGTCCTTAAAGGCTTTTGTACAAAATTATAAAGGCTGACTTGATATTAACCTAATGACCGGTCTCAACTAAATGTTTTGCAGTGGAGGAAGTTGTTTGTCTATCCTGTGAATTTATTTGACCACTGAAATTGTTATAATCTCTTTTTACGATATGATCCAGCTATTCCTATTGCTTAGTATTCTTAGACACCAAATCACTCGACAAGACCCCAAATCAGAACACGGTTGAACAGGAAAGAGATTACATTCCAAATAACAAGGTTAGATGGAAGTAAGAAGCAAGTAAGCAGCACAATAGGGAAAAACGTCAGTATATTTATGGTTTTTAGATGAGAAGATTTTAGAGTATTCTCAAACTATCGGCTAGTGCTGATTGGATAAGAATTAGCCAATCAGCGTGCACCAAAGCAATCGTGCATTGAGCATGCTTTAAATCCAGTCTATGTCCCGCTAACAGAAATTTATTTGTCTTTGCAGCCACTTAGGTATGTGTTCAACCACCCTTACTTGAAGATCAAAATTGCTCCTCTTTATGTACGTGTTTCGGCTCATACATGTAAATTGATAAATACAGTGGGATGTAACACAATCGCTTACGTGTTGTTTGGGTTTTCAGTGAAGCGTAGACCTTGTCTTTTCAATAACAAGTTGGGCTGCATAAAATGTCCGATTGATGACTAATTTAAGTCTCCATTTCAACATGAGAGTATTTGAATCACCTCCAAATGGTAACGTAATGTAGACTTGCTTTATGGGTACCAGAAGCGTCATAGGTCTCATCGTATTGCAACCTTTCCAACGCTTTATAAACTTCAAGTAATAACCATTATTTATTAATGTTTCAGTTAAGAGCTTCATGTTTCCTTCAATAGTATGACTGGTACAAATATGATTGATCCTATTGAATAAGCCATTTATTAATCCACGTTTTTAATGAATTAGACAATCACTATGGAAAGTAAGATATTACCCTGTCCATGCCCGCTTTGTATATACTTTTACCAATAATAACGTTAAAAATCACAGTTAATTAGGCATACACAGGGAGTTATTAAGCTCTGTGTTAAGTATGCCCAGTCATTAGATTACTGACGCGCGGCACTAACTGGGACAGGAATAGATTGGTAAGAATCTAGGGAACGAAAAAACCGAGGCGTGGGTAGCTTTAGACCATGCAGATATTAACTGTTGAACGGAGTTGTATTGGCAAGTACTGGTCACATGGCTGATGTAGTATGACAACTCCTACTAACATACTGTTGTGCCAAGTCCTATGTTGATTATGACAGACCAGCTGACAAAAAGTAGGTCAACAAAGAATATTAGTAGACCACACGTTTTCCGGGCTATATAAGCGACTTAAACACGTGAAGACAGTTCACTACCTTCAGATTAAAATTTATCAACGCTTGTAGATCTTGACAGATCTAGCTTCACAGACAGGACATTTACGCTTTTTAAAACTAGGATCCAGCCTAAACCATCGATACTGAGTTTGAAGTGTGAAAGCATAAGGATGTATGACATAGATAAAGACTGTGTAATTTACGAATAATGAACAAGTAAATAGATACTAAGAACATCGGTTCATTTAACTCAAGTGGCTGCATACTTAGAGGCTGATTTGGATTTATTATGAAAAACGAGTGATGATTTAGGTGTTTCAAATAAACTCAGTGTTTTGCATTATTTTTACAACAGAAACTTAAAAATACTCGGTATGAATTGAAACATTCTTGTGTAGTACCACATTCTTTCATTAATTTATGATAATCTTGTGCATAAGATAACGTTTTCTTGGTAGTTTAGAAGAGATAGTTTGGTTAGTTCAAAATGGGATGCTTTTAAGTCACGTAATTAGTAAACAAATAAAAAACTATGTCAAAGTGGACAAGTTTAACAATCGCCATATTTTTAATAGAATAAAATAACACAAAATCAATCAATGTTTTTAGTTGAAACATAATTAAACGAAATATTAGGGCGTGGATAAATGTAAATGTAATTGACTATACATGTGTACAGCTGACTAGTCAAATATTTGACTTACATAAAGATGTTCGAACTAGAAATTTAATTGATTCGTATATAGAAATGCATAATACGAGTATCAAATGAAGCCAAAGAAATTGGATAC